CTACTGAGGATGTACCTGCAACCAAGGTACATGCCCTTGACTGGGATCTTTCAGTTTGCAGACCGACGTTCTATTCACTGAGCGAAACCAGTTAGGGCTTCCTCTCTCTCTTAAAAAAAAAAAATTAAAAGTGAAGGGGAAATAAAGACTGTTTCAGATGGACAAACACAGAAAGTTGTCACCAGCAGCCCCTTACTAAAGGAGATACATTCCTAAGGATGTTCTTCAGGCAGAAGGAAAATGTTCTCAGGTAGAAACTCCTGGTCACTATGGAATAACTCGTTAACTTTCAGTTGGTAAAACAGTAATAATAATGTCTTGTGAGGTTTATGACATATATAGAATTAAAATACAGGATACCAGTGTCACATCAGTGTGTGAGGAAGGTGAAGGGAGGAAATTCTAACCTTGAGTTGCCTTGGAAAAGGTAAATGCATTTAATTGGACTTAATACATAAAGGCTACCTATTGTAATCGTTACAGGAATCACTATCAGAATAGTAAAAGGGTTACTTTATTGGATTAGATGGAACATGAAAAATATTCAAAAAGCTGGCAAAAAAGAATAAACAATAGAACCAGTGACAAACAGAAAGCAAGTTAAGATGGTGCCCCACATTCAGTGATCAAACTCAGTGCAGCAGGACAAAGTGATGCAATTAAAAGAAAAAACTGTCAAACTGGATCTTAACAAAAGACACAAAAGTAAGAGAATATAGAAAGGTTAAGTGTAAAAAGATGGAAAATGCAAGTCCTGTGAACAGTAGCCAGAGAGTAGTCAGTACAGGCTTTCCTCTCTGTGAAAAGGGCCTGGGGAACATGCTTGTTTTGAATGTTTCCCTAGATGCACCACTTGAGGAGTTTGCCATATTTGTTGTGCCCATATTCATGTAGGAGTTTGTGTCTGCACATCAGCACGCACACACACACACACACACACACACACACACACACACACTTCCTTCCCACCTCTGAGCCTGGAGTTTCCCACTTGACATTTCCTCTCACACCTCACTAAGTCAGAATTTTCTTTGTCACATCAGCCTGCAGTGAAGGCCCAGCGATTCTGTTTTCATGACAAGAAGTGAGCACTAACCTGTCCCAAGAGCCAGCTTCTCTGTTTAGAACTTTAAAAAGGTCAACAGAGCCAGAACCGGTTTGGCTCAGTGAAAGGTCCCAGGTTCGATCCCGGTCAAGGGCATGTACCTTGATTGCAGGCAAATCCCCAGTGGGGTGTGTGCAGGAGGCAGTTAATTGATGTTTCTCTCTCATCAATGTTTCTAGCTCTCCATCCCTCTCCCTTCCTCTCTGTGGAAAATCAATAAAATATATTTTTTTAAAAAAAAGGTGAACAGATGATGGGTAGCGCTTCCTCCTTTTCTTCTCTTCCCGTTGCTCTCTGAACTTGGAGTGCATGTACATAGTGGGATTTGATCTGCACTGGATACTATAGAAAATTAAAAATCCATGTTTTCCCTGCTTATCACCGTAAAGATGAATTTTCTGGGAGCTGTCAGGGGAAGAAGGCAGGCATACCGGACGCATCGAAGTCTGAGACTTGGTCCTCTGCTGACCTCATTCCTGTCCCACGGTGGGAGGCAGAGGAGTCCGGGTACGGGTGTGTGGGGCTCTTCAGTATGACCTGTGGCTCGGGCTTCCGGGCTGTGAGTGCTGTGACACCTTTTTCTCTTTAATTCGAATTTTTTTGTTTGTTTGACCAAATGAGTGTATTCAAAGTTACCAAAGTGTAATATTCCTTAAATGCAAAAAGGAAACTGAAAAACAAACAGTTCAGCACTTAGCCTGTAATTTGAATTTCGATACGGTAGCTGTTAAGTGACGATATTGGTGGTTTTATTTTTTAAGTGCCAGAAGAATAACTGTCATTTAAAAAACTGAGTTTTTGATTTTTAAAGCAAAGAAGGTGAGACATTGCATATCATTTCTTGTGCTCTGTGTCAGATACAGTCTAGACAAGGAGGTGTAAATAGGACCTAGGGACAGACTGTCCACATCCTGAAGATATCCCTGTCCTTCCTGTAACTGTGGACATGATGCTTTCCTAAGAGCCTTCATAGTCCTGCCTTTGCCCTCACTGGGCCGGAACATATTAGTGGCCTCCCAGGATGCCCTCGGGCCACATGGGGTGGGTCAGAAATACTGTGTGTGTTGGTTAGTGACTAACACCTCTGGGTGTTGCTCCCCCTGTGGTGCTGGAATGATGAACATCTTCCTGATCTGGTAGGTAACTTACATGGCCTACTTACTGTCCATTGCTGTGACCTCGATGGCTGGAAGAGGAGGAGTACTGACCATGGTTGGCACTGTTTTGGGGTTTGTGGCCTCAGGTGCTGCTCTTGCCGAGGCCCCCAGGCGACATGGCCCTCCTCTGTGGGCCTGCCTTCCAAACCCACTGTCTGGCGCAGCCCAACTCCACATAGTCTGTGTGACAGGTGTCCATGATATCAGGGTATCCTGCGGTCTCATTAATAAAAGTGCCTTTCAAAAGGTTCTGTTCATCAAGCAATGGTTGTCCATAAGGATTCTGTCAGCTTAGAAGCAATCTGGTCTCTCCTCTTTCTACACTGAGGACACTGAAGTCCAAAGGACAGGGTGACACATCCCATGTCCTGGCAGTCAGTACAGCCTGCCAATCACCAGTACAGCAAGGGCTCAAGGACTGTGAGCAGCAACTCTAATCAGAAGTGAGGCTGGGGCTGTAGGGACTATGACTGGGGCCCATTGTGCACATCACTGAGCATTCAGCATGAAAACCCCAGCCTCCTACACAGACATGGGCCCTTCAGACAACTTTAGTGCTATCCCACTTTCATCATGACCTGTAGAGGCCTGGCAGAGGTGGCTATTCAAGGACAGTCTGGGAAGAAGAGGTGGTGGTGGAACAAGGCCAAGGACAGCAGTGAGGGGTCAGGAAAGCTGACGTGTAGCTAGATCAGTGTAGACACTAGAATAGATTTGTGTATGAGGGAAGTCCAGATATAATACAGAGAAAGATTCAGTGTTTAGTGTTAACAACTGGCTTTCCATTTTGATGCAAGAAAGTGAGGTAGATTTTACATCCACGCGCATTTCAGGTAAAGATCTAAATTTTTAAAATTAAGATAAATAGAAGAATAAATTTATAATTTGGAATGAGGAAGGCCTACCTATGTAAGATTGGGGGAAAATCTATAAAAGAAGAGGTTTCCAAATCTGATTTCATAAAAATAAAACATTTTGTGTGACCAAAATTAACAAATGAAATATTTTTTAAAAGTGACTTTAGCCCTGGCTGGGTAGCTAGCTCAGTTGGTAGGAGTGTTTTCCCATACACCAAAAGGTTGCAGGTATAGGTTCAGTGTCCAGTCAGGGCATGGACAGGAGGCAACTGGTCGATATTTCTCTGCCCCATTGATGTTTCTCTCCCACATTGATGTTTCTTTCTCTCCCTCCCTTTTCCCCGCCCCCCCTCCCTCCTAGCTCTCTAAAATCAATAAACATATCCTTGGTTGAGAATTTTTTTTTTTAAGTGACTTTAGAGAAAAAAAATATTTTTTTATATGTAGCCAAAGGTCAGTAGTAAGAATATTTAAAGACCAATGTAAATCATTAAGAGACCAGCTGGGTGTGACTCAGTAGTAGAGCATGGACCCAGGCACAAAGAGGTTACTGGTTCAATTCCTGGTCAAGGCACATGCCAAGATTGTGGGCTCAATCCCCAGTAGGGGGGCATGCAAGAGGCAGCCTATTAATGATTCTCTCTCACTATTGACTAGTAGCCCTGCGCACAAATCTGTGCGCCAGTAGCTCTCTGTGAGACCTGGCTGCTCGGTGCCCGCTGCCCAAAGCTCTCCTCAGCCCAGAGGCCCCGCCATGGCTGGGCGCGGCACACTTGCCTCTTCGCCACAGTGACAAAGCAAGCCTTCTGACAGGCTGCTCATGCTACCCCTGTCATTAGTCACCCCCCCTGGGAGGCTGGGTGCCACCATCTTCATAACAGAGTGATGGTTAATTTGCATATTACCTTAAAAAAAAAATATATATATATTATTGATATAGAGAGAGATAGAGAGCCAGAAACATCGATGAGAGATTGAGAGAGAGACATTTATCAACTGCTTTCTACACATCCCCACTGGGGATATGCCGGCAACCAAGGTACATACCCTTGACTGGAATCGAACCTGGGACCCCTCAGTCAGCAGGCCAATGCTCTATTCAGAGCCAAACCTGTCAGGGCAACATTTTACCCTTTTATTAGATAGAATGTTTCCAACTCCCTCTCCCTTCTTCTCTCTGAAATCAATAAAAACAACTTGTTTAAAAAATCACTAAGAAACTCATAATCAGCACAGTAGAAAATGGGCAAAAGCCATGAATGGGTAACTTACAGAGGGAGGAATTTAAATGACACCCAAAACTGCCAACCTGACTGTTAACTAAAATAGTCATTTTCTGGCTAATCACATGACAGTTGGAGGTGAATGCCACTCAGGGAGTGACTGGAACACTCGGTTAAACTTAGGTACTTTCCCCCGCCGCCATCCCCTGCATTCCATTCCAAGGCGGTTCTCAGACCTCTGCACAGGAGCTCTGGCTGCCTTGAAGTGGGCCTGCACAAGGAGTGGGCGAGGGTTGACGCTGCTACTGGAACATCCAGGAGGTTGGGTGTACTTTGCAGCAAATAAGGCTGCTTTTTAGAAGGACAAGCAGAACAGCTGTGTCATGTTCCTAGTTACATGCATGAAAATGCAAATCCAAATAATAACCTGTGCGTTCACTTCACATCTACTTCAACACAGAGGAAAGACCTGGAAGATGCCTGGGGCTTACCCGATCCCACTGGGGGTGGGAGGCAGGAAGAAGATGCCAGCCCTTTTTGCTTTTCTTGAATTGTTTGCATTTGTAGTTCGTATAGAAGGATAGCCATCTGATTCTGAAAACGTGGATTAGCAGGAGATGATGCTGGGCTGCTGTTGACATGCCTTCCTTCTTTGCAGATACGGATCCTGGCGGGAGCCTGTCAACCCCTACTATGTCAACTCTGGCTATGCCCTCGCTCCAGCCACCAGCACCAATGACAGTGAGCAGCAGAGCCTCTCCAGCGACGCGGACAGCCTGTCCCTCACTGACAGCAGTGTGTAAGTCCCCCCCGCCTGGGTGAGTGCAGCCCCCCTGCAGCACAGTAGCCTGTGCCAGTCCGAGCAGGGGCTTTACCTTGACGGAAAGTGACTTGTGCCCTTTCTCCCAACTTGGTGTTAGTATGTCTGACATACAGACAGACAAGCTGCATTGTAGGAAGTGGTGTTTAAAATCCTAACATAGCCTGGCAAGTGTGGCTTAGTTAGTTGAGTATCGTCCTATGTACTAGGAGGTCACTGGTTTGATTCCTAGTTGGGGCACATGCTCAAATTGCAGGCTAGACCCCCAGTGTGTGTGTGTGTTTTGGGGGGCACCATGCGGGAGGTAGCCTATCACTGTTTCTGAACTCTCTCCTTCTCCCTTCTTCTCTCTGAAATCAATACAAACTTTTTTTAAAAAAATCCTAACATAAACTATTATAGAATTGAGTTTTGCATTAATTGCTTTTCTCTAAGGCCGAAGTTACAGGAACCTTTGAAAGAGGAGAAACCATGGGGTGACATTGAAACAAATTTTAGGGCTGCCTGGGCTAGAGCACTTTGGTTGTTTTTCTCTTTGGTTTATATAGTGTGGGCTTCGCTTTAAAGATCAGCACTGGTTAGCAGCCAAGCAGAGGGTGACTGCCTGCCCTGGAGGGCTGCACTGCTGTGCAGGTGCATTTCTTGTTCTCACTGTTATGCCCTTACCAGTTTTTTAAGTTTAGAAATTGTCAAATAGGTGAGCAGTCCCCTGTCATCTCACCATGGGGAGACAGGGAGATGCAAGCAAAGGAGGAAGTTGGTGCAGCTGGTTCTGTGTGCTGGCCCAGGGCCCGGATATTTCAACTGAGGCTTTGCATGTCCAAGAGGTCTCAGTGACCACAAACAGCCACATTGAGCCTCCGTGTTCTCTGTGCTGGCAGCAGATCTTTCATCCTCTCCTTTTGTGGGAAAGTACCTGTTTTCTGACACCTTCTCCTTCACCTTGGCAGATGGCTTGTTGGGGTACAAGTGCACATTAGAAGCTTAATGGTGTCAAACACTGTCTTAGTAGATGAGGGCATCTCCTGTCCCACCTGCTGAAGTCATTTGGGGTCTTGACCCTGCTGCCCATGATGTCAGACTTGCCCAGCTTTTGGTACTTTTGCCATTTGCTATCTGACTAGCACTGATAGGAAGTATTTGTCCAGGCTTGGGCCCTAGGGGTGGAAGCTGCCTCCTGGACACCCTCCAGCCTCAGGGCCAGAAAGCCTTTGGCAGTGACATTGAGCAGGTAGGTGTGAGCTCACTGACTGCAGGGTGTTAGGTCAATGCCGAGAGGAACAGGCCAAATGAAATTAAAAAGCAAAGTTTAGGCCGAAACCTGTTTGACTCAATGGATAGAGCGTCGGCCTGTGGACTGAAAGGTCCCAGGTTCGATTCCGGTCAAAGGGCATGTACCTTGGTTGCGGGCACATCCCCAGTAGCTGATTGATGATTCTCTCATCAATGTTTCTAACTCTCTATCCCTCTCTCTTCTTCTCTGAAAAAAAAAAATCAATAAAATATATTTTTTATAAAAAGCAAAGTTTATTGTTAGACCTGTGAACAGAAGGGTTGAGACCAAAGTAGTGTAAGCAAGTAAGAGTAGGGAGGGCAGATATTTCCATGTCTCTTATGTAGGTGGGAGCGAACAGTTAAGCTGGATGCAGCTGTAGCAGGTTGCAGGGAGCCAACTCTAAAGCTGCTCTTCTTGGCCCCTTAGCTCTCTCTTGTGACACCTGAAATGAGAATAACAGGAAAACTGCATAGAGGACAGGAGACCCAAGTGGGCACAGTGGAAAAGTACTGAGTACAGGGGAAAGCTATAAAATATACTTTACACAGCGTATTTACCCCCAAGACTGAGACCTCAGGGCCTAGAGCAGCAAGCTGTCAGCTGGTCACACGGAGACTTCTCCATCCAGCCTATTTCATCATATGGAAAATTTGAGGAGTTATTGATTAAATAAGAAAGAAAATGAGGACTATTTGACGCAATAATCCCACTTCTAGGACTATATCTCAAGAAACCAGAAACACCAATCAGAAAGGATATATGCACCCCTATGTTCATAGCAGCACAATTTACCATAGCTCAGATTTAGAAACAGCCTAAATGCCCATCAGCAGATGAGTGGATTTGAAAACTGTGGTACATCTACACAATGGAATATTACGCTGCTGTAAAAGTGAAGGAATTCTTACCATTTGCAACAGCATAGATGGAACTGGAGAGCATCATGCTAAGTGAAATAAGCCAATCAGAGAAAGATAAATATCATATAATCTTACTCATTTGTGGTATATAATGAACAACATAAATGGATGAACAAAAATAGAGCAGGAGCTGGGGGGGCTGGGAAGGGGGAATATTCTAGAAAATAATAGAAGTAATCCTGTTATTTACAGATTTTTAATATTTCCTATAACTTGTGATATCATACTATGCTAGTACAGTTTTGGTAATATTATTATACTTAAAATCCTTTTATTCTTGAAATATTAATGTTTATTGCATGTAATATTATATATAAGGTAATTTTTCTTGAATAATTGGTGTTTATTGTATGTAACATCATATTTAAAATCATTTTTCTTGAGATATTAATGTCTATTGCATGCAACATATTTAAGATCATTTTTCTTAAAAAATAAAAACTTTTTGGCTGCCTCTTGCATGCCCCCTACTGGGGATTGAGCCCAAAATCCAGGTATGTGCCCTGACTGGGAATTGAATCATGACCTCCTGGCTCAGATCAAGGCTCAACTTCTGAGCCATATCAGCTGGGCGAATGCATACTTTTAAGTTGTGTCCCACTTGACCTAGCTGGTTTTGCTGAGTGGGTAGGTAGAGCATCAGCCCTCAGACTGAAGGGTTCTGGGTTCAATTCCGGTCAAGGGCATGTATCTTAGTTATAGGCTGGATTCCTGGCCTTGGTCTGGGAGTGTTTGTGGAGGCAACTAATCAATGTCTCTCCCTCTACCTTCTCCCTTCTCCTTTCCCCCTTCTTCCTCTCCCATTCTCTCTAAAACTCAATGGAAGAATATTGATTAAACCCCCTCAAAATAAATAAATAAATAAATAAATAAATAAATAAATAAATAAATAGTGGGTTTAACAACAACAACAAAAAAATAGTGTCCCACTTGACATGCCATTTTTATATGTCATACTTTTCGTTTGCCTATCTTTGTGAGTGTATATATGTATTTTTTTGGTGGTTGTTAATCCTTACACAAGGATAGTTTTTCATTGATTTTTGTGAAACTGAGAGAAACATTGATGTGAGAAAGACCCATTGATTGGTTGCCTCCTACATGCACCACAATCATGGCCAGGGATCAAATCTGCAATCCGGCTACATGCCTTTGACTGGGAATCGAACCCACAACCCTTTGGTGTGCAGGCCAACACTCTCATCACTGAGACACCAGCTAGGGCACCTGCTGCTTGTGTTTTTGGTGGTGGTGTTGTTGTTGTTGTTTTTTTATCTCATCTATAAATATTCTTGAATATTTTTTTCGACCTTCAAAACCAATCAGTAGTAGTTGAAATCTAATCGATATTTAAATGAATATTTTTCAACTATAATTTACATTCAGTGTTATTTTGTGTTAGTTTCAGGTGTACAGTATAATGGTTAGACAATCATATACTTTACAAACTATTCCCCCTGATATTTTCATAGCACCATACATAATTATTACAATGTTATTGACTATATTTCCTATGCTGTAGTTGACATCCCTGCAACTGTTTTGTAATGAATCTTAAATTTCTTCACCTTATTCACCTAATCTCCCAAGCCCCCCTCCTCTAGCAACCATCAGTATTCTCTGTATCTATGAGCCTATTTTAATTAGTTTATTTTGTCATTTAGATTCCACACATATGTGAAATCATAAGGTATTTGTCTTTCTCTAAATAACTTATTTCAATTAGCATAATATCCTCTAGGTCCATCCATGCTGTCACAAATGGTAAGATTTTATTTTTTATGGCTGAGTAATATTCCATTGTATACATGTATCACAACTTTTTAAAAAAACATATAATCATCAACCACACTGCTTTTCTTTTATATATATATTTTTTAATTGATTTTTTACAGAGAGGAAGGGGAGGGATGGAGAGTTAAACATCAATGAGAGAGAAACTTGGATCGGCTGCCTCCTGCACATCTCTTACTGGGGATGTGGCCGCAACCAAGGTACATGCCTTGACCGGAATTGAACCTGGGACTTTTTAGTCCACAGGCTGACATTCTATTCATTGAGCCAAACCAGTTAGGTGACAACCTAAAAAAAATATATATATATATATATAATATATTTATTTATTTATTTCAGAGAGGAAGGGAGAAGAAGAGAGAGGATAGAAACGTCAATAATGAGAGGAAATCATTGATTGGCTGCCTCCTACACACCCTCTACTGGGAACCTAACCTGCAACCCAGGCACATGCCCTTTAATGGAATCGAATCTGAGACCCATGCGTCCGCAGGCCAACACTCTGTACACTGAGCCAAACCGGCTAGGGCCTATCACAACTTTTTTTATCCATTCATCTATTCACCTGGTTGCTTCCTTGTCTTGGCTATTGTAAATAATACTGCTATGAACATAGGGGTGCATATATGGTTTTGAATTAGTGTTTGGGATATATATCTCCATCCAGAACTGGAATTGCTAGGTCATAAAGCAGTTCTATTTTATATTTTTGAGGACCTTCTATACTGTTTTTCATGGTGGCTGCATGAGGGTTCCCTTTTCTCCCTCATGCAGCCACTATGGAAAACAGTATGTTATTTGTTGATTTATTGATGATAGCCATTCTGACAGGTGTGAGGTGATATATCATAGTGCTTTTAATTTCCATTTCTGATGATTAGTGATGTTGAGTATCTTCATATGTCTATTGGCCATTTGTATATGCTCTTTGGGGAAGTGTCTATTAAGATCATTGCCTAGCTTAAGGATTTTTCTGACATCTCAATTTTAGTGTACAGGATAGGTTATCATAAGCTGTTTCTGAACCAAACTTAGCCAGTCACCCATCATTGTAAGTCTTGAGCTCTCTCTGTCTCAATGACCATGTAGTAACATCACTAGATGAATCTGTCCCTTCAGGTTGAACTTCTGAATATGGTATTTCTCATGGACCATTTCATTTTTTATTTTGAATCTTGAAGATAAAATGTTGAGTTTTTTTGTTTGTTTGTTTTTAAACATATTTTATTGATTTTTCAAAAAGATGAAGAGAGAGGGATAGAGAGTTAGAAACGTCGATGAGAGAGAATCATCGATCAGCTGCCTCTTGAACACCCCCTACTGGGGATGTGCCCACAACCAAGGTACATGCCCTTGCCCGCAATCGAACCAGTCCGCAGGCCGCAGGCCGATGCTCTATCCACTGAGCCAAACCGGTCCGGCTGTTGAGTTGTTTTTAAGCAATTTCTTATTTGAAATTACTGGGGTTTCCAACAGTATCTGCTATGAATGTAAAGTATCTTAAAACGGTTACATTCAGCTGCATCCTTGCTGATGTCCACACCTGCTGAAAGCCAAGATGGATAGCATTTGTAGCACCTGGTTTTCCTCTTCCCCCATACTCTGTTACTACAATAAAAGTTAATCTGCCTAGGTAATTTTCCATTTTCTTGAAAAGTATCTTAATTCTAGCCAATAAAATAGGTTTGCTAAGGGGAAGATATAAAAATTTAAAAATGGCCCAACTGGCCAAGACCGGTTTTGCTCAGTGGATAGAGCATCTGCCTGCGGACTGAGAGGTCCCGGGTTTGATTCTGGTCAAGGGCATGTACCTTGGTTGCGGGCACATCCCCAGTAGGGGGTGTGCAGAAGGCAGCTGATCGATGTTTCTCTCTCATCGATGTTTCTAACTATTTCTCTTTCTCCCTTCCTCTCCGTAAAAAATCAATAAAATATATATATTTTTTAAAAATGGCCCAACTGGCATGGCTAATGGTTGAGTATCGAACTATGAACCAGGAGGTCATGATTCAATTCCTGATCAGGGTAGATGCTTGGGGTGCGAGTTCAATCCCCATTAGGGAACGTGCAGGAGGCAACTGATTAATGAGTCTCATCATTGATGTTGCTATCTCTCCCTCCCTTTCCTCTCTGAAATCAATAAAATAATATTTTAAAAATAAATAAATAAATAGCCGAAACAGGTTTGGCTCAGTGGATAGAGCGTCAGTCTGTGGACTGAAAGGTCCCAGGTTCGATTCCGGTCAAGGGCATGTACACTGGTTGCAGGCTCATCCCCAAAAGGGGACGTGCAGGAGGCAGCTGGTCAATGTTTCTCTCTCATCTATGTTTCTAGCTCTCTATCCCTCTCCCTTCCTCTCTATAAAAAATCAATAAAATATATTTTTTAAAATAAAATAAAATAAAAATAAATAAATACATAAATAAATAAAAATGTTTTCCTCCTGATACTTTGTTCATCTTGATTTATAATGGGTCAGAAATGTAGGAAAGTCAAGAATTTGGAATTAGCCGGGACTGGTTTGGCTCAATGCATAGAGCGTCGGCTTGGGGACTGAAGGGCCCCCAGGGTTCGATTCCGGTCAAGGGCATGTACCTTGGTTTCGGGCATATCCCCAGTAGGGGGTGTGCAAGAGGTAGCTGATCGATGACTCTCTCTCATTGATGTTTCTAACTCTATCTCTCTCTCTTCCTCTCTGTATAAAAATCAATAAAATATATTTTTTAAAAGAATTTGGAATTAAAATTTTGACACATCTGAATGTATATTAGATGCAAAAAAATAGGATTGTGTGTTTTATTAAATTGTTGTTGGGGCAACTGCACTTAGTATTTTAATCTCATGACAAAAATGACTGACCACCTTAGTAGTAGTTTGTGGATTTTGGACATAGGTGTCTGAGGATAATGCCTAATCTCCATAGAGGACTATGGAATTTTTAAGTGCCCCATTAAAGTATATGAGAAACAAACAAGTTGGTTGCTCAGGACACCTGAACAAAACCTGAGGGCATGTAAAGACATTTTAAATGTATTTGACTCACTTTTCCTTGAGTTCCCTTGCACCCACTGGATCACTGGTACCAGGGATATTGAGGCGGTGGAGAGACCATCACAGCCTCTCTCTGCCCTGTCCTGAACCAAAGCTCCTCTTTCCACCCAAACCAGGGTTCTGGAGAGAATGTTGCAGCCCTACCTCCCCATAAAACTGCCGTGCTGGTAGGTGTGGGGCTGGCCAAGACTCACCAAGTGTGTCCTGGGTACCAAGGGGCAAGGTGGCAACTTCCCTATCCATCCAGCAGTTAAAGTGGGTTAGAATTGTCCTGGCTGCATGTTTGTGTCCACCACACAGGAAGAGCTGGCAGTGGGCGGGGCTTGGGGAGTAGTGGGGTGTGCTGGCAGTGGGCGGGGCTTGGGGAGTAGTCGAGGGGGTCAGGACATTAACTGCGCCCTGGAGAGCAGGGAGGCCCACCTGGGGTTCCTTCAAGAGAGAGGAAGCAGGAGCCCAGACAAACCATGGTACTCATCCCGCTTTGGCGGGCATCTTTTCACATGCTAGCTCCTGGTAGCCACTGTGTTCCCCAGAGTAGCTTTTATTTTTTATTTTTTAAAATATATTTTATTGATTTTGTACAGAGAGGAAGGGAGAGAGATAGAGAGTTAGAAACATCGATGAGTGAGAGGCATCGATCAGCTGCCTCTTGCACACCCCCTACTGGGGATATGCCTGCAAACAAGGTACATGCCCTTGACCGGAATCGAACTTGGGTCTTCAGTCCCCAAGCCGACGCTCTATCCATTGAGCCAAACCGATTTCGGCCCCAGAGTAGCTTTTAAATGGCTGGGAAAGGACTGGAGAGTTTTTAGGGATTGTATACATGCAGTGAATTATGTGTTAAATCTGACATCTGTCTTGAATAAGTACATTTAATTATCTTAAAGACAATATATAATTTGACATATTTTTTATCATAATCTTCAGAAATTAAATCTTCATAGCTATATCAGGAAAACTAATTTGAGCACCCCTCAAAGAGAGTACACTGCTTGATCAGTTTACCCTGGAAGAAAATAGAAAAACGAAGCCTTGCAAATCTCTCACTATGATCTATTGTTTTGGCTGCCCATTTTGCAGCTCTCAAATGTTTCCTGTCGACTCCCAGGTAAGCACATCGTATCCTGCCTGGGCAATAAAGCAGGGTCAGCAAATTTGTTTTGTTTGTGTGTTTGTTTTTAGAGAGTGGACAGGAGGGGGAGAGACACATTGATGTGAGAGACACAATCCCCAGCCCTCAATTGACCAGGGCTGGGGATTGAGTCTGCAACCGAGGTACATGCCCTTGACCGGAATCGAACCTAGGACCCTTCGTCTGAGGGCCAGCACTTTATCCACTGAGCCAGACCGGCTAGGGCAACAAATGTTTTTTTAAAGAACGAGTAGCAAATACTTCAGGCTTTGGCCACATGCTGTCTCTGTCACATATTCCTTATTCCCCCTTTAAAAATGTAAGAACCTTTCGTAAAACAGGCCACATGGACCCTGTCCATGGTACAGCCGGCACAGCTGTGCTTTGTGGAGCTGTTCTGGGTGCGCTCACACCAGGCTGTCTCTTTCCTCTGGCAGGGATGGAATCCCACCGTACAGGATCCGAAAGCAGCACCGCAGGGAGATGCAGGAGAGCGTCCAGGTCAACGGGCGAGTGCCTCTACCTCACATTCCCGTAAGTTCCACCGCACTGCTCTCACCCTGCTGTCCGAGTTTGAGGCTCACCAGTCCTCTCAGACCCATGTCCACCTGTTTTTCTCATTCTGACTGGGCTGATGTGGCCGTGGCCAGTGGGAGAGGCACCTGCTTGACTTTCTGTGAGCTCAGCTTACATCCAGATATAGCTCATGGTCAGCACTTGGTCATACTTGGAGGGAGGGCTTTTAGGGCCCAGCCCACCGGTCAGTTCAGAAGAAAGGGGTTTTCCTTAAGGGTCTGCCATGTGGCCTTTTCTCATTGTGCCAAGTGAGGTGCTTCTCCTGGAGAGGGAGAGCAGCTCTAAGCCTCCCTCAGAAGCTCAATCCCCAGAGCTGTTTCTCTGTCAGAAAGCCTGGCGGGTGCCTCCAGGTCTCAGTTATTGTGAACGCTGCCTTATTCAACATAAAAAGAGGCCTTTCTGTGGTGAATGGTGAGCGTTACCACATAGACATCCTGACCTCAGAGCTGCCTCAGCTTCACCTTTTCGATAAAAATAAAAAGTGGTTCATCAGTTCCTAATGATAGCAGTTCTGCTTGTGGCATCAGGGCTAAGTGGCCAGGCACCGCCTGTCTCCACCTGCACATGGTTCCTTTATTGATGAATGGAGTGATTCTCTTCTTATTTTGCCACAATAACTTTGAATGGGAAAGACTTTTAGGGGAAGATAAGAAAAGTTTAGAGAAGCAGCGCCAGCCCATTGGTGCCTGCAGCATCTGAGAGCGACACAGGCCACTCATTTGTGGTGTCTGTGCAGGAAAGTGGTTGTTTCTTGGAATCACAGCACACATCCCCTCTTCATCAGGATTCCTTGATTAGAGTCTCTGCAAATACTATAATTTTCCAGATAAGAAAAATGATTGCTTATGGTCTGGAAGAAAGGATATTGGTTTGTCCTTAACTTCTGTGAAAATGATGGTCAAGCACTTTGTCACCTCCCAGCTAACCCTTGGCACAGATTTGGCCTCACCTGGGCACTGATGGTGTCTGCTTAGGGGAAAGTGGAAGATGCCGTGTGTGGAGTGTATGTACATGTGTGTGTGCACACATACACATACATGTGTGCGCTACAGGTGACGTGGGGAGCATCCAACCTCACTCATGTCATCTGGAGCAATCTGGTCCTGAGCCTTGGCATCTTCACCTTGCCCTGTGGTAATGGAGTATCTTCTCAGCTCTGCTCAGAGGATGTTTAAACTCCAGGTCAGGGCTGGGTGGGGGTGCAGAAGAGGAGACTGGGCATCTAATGTCCCAGAAATTAAGGGAGTGGGGCACATAGGAGCCGCTTAGAGGGGCTCCTGCTGGCCAAGCCCTAGATAACTGGAGCATCAGAGTTAGTGGCAGTGAAGTTGGAATCCATGCTGACATGATAAATGAACTGAGAGTTTGATGGGGACAAGATATTTTCATTGTTCCAAATATCCGCTCATAGCAGGGGGAAAGCAATTTTTGGGGAGGACCTGCGAGGCCCTTCTGAGTCGGGGGTCAGATGCTGTCATCAGTGTTGGGACAGAGGGACACTGCCTCTGCGAGCAGAGTGAGCAGGGTCCTGTGCCCCCAATGCCTCCTGCCGGGGAGGTCGCCATTCACACAGCCCAAGTTGCATATTGCACAAGAACTGGCCTCTGTTGTCTGTTCAAACACCCACTCCTTCTACAATGTCCCAGTGCCCTGGGGCTTGCCATCTAGGCCTACCTTCTTTCCCTGACCCCTTTCCCAGGACCCTCTAGAAGCACTGGGTATGCCAGCTCGCCCTTCTTCTTGGGTAAGGTCTCCTCAACTTCAGCACAGACCCCTGCTTAGTATTGGGCACACCAGGCCTTCCACACTAACTTTTGTTTTTAAGAAACAGATTCATAAGATATGTACACAGATAATAATTTAATAAAAAAATAAGGAAAAAAAAGAGAAACGATTGATTGATTGATTGATTGATTGATTGATTTCAGAAAGGAAGGGAGAGAGAAACATCAGTGATGAGAGAATCATTGATTGGCTGGCTCCTTCACACTCTCTAGTGGGGATAGAGCCAAGACCTGGGCGTGTGCCCCTCCTGGGAATTGAATCGTAATCGTAACCTCCTGGTCAACACTCAACCCTGAGCCGCACCAGCCGGCAACACACCAACTTTTTCCACCCCTGAAGCCTTGGCCTGTGCTGGCTTGCCCTCAGTCTTTTACCCTCTCCAGGCCCTTCAAAGGTTTCTGCGGCCGCCTCTGAATCCATCGTGGTCAGCATCAGCCTTACACATGGACACTTGTGTCTGAGCCCTTCACATAATCTTAGCATCTTAAAACTTCCTGTGGCTTTAGGTAAAAAAGTCTTTACTCCTGTTTTGCGGATAAGAAACAGGTAGGCAAAGTTGAGAACTATGCCCAGAGCCCACCGACAAGAGGCTGGAGTGCCACCTCCACTCAGGCTTTAGCCGTCACCATGAGCTTTTTCTTTTTGCCTTGTTCCACGTCTGAAGGCCAGGGTTCTAAATAGCCACTCTTCACCCAAGATTCTGTGTGCCACCCTGACCCCAGGCCACCTCTTTCTTCCACCTGTCCTGCCTCATCTGAGGCCCCTCCAGACCTTCCCCATCCTTATATCTTGGTGGCATAGGTTTTTTGTTTTTTTTAATCCTCAATATTTTTTCCCTTGACTTTAAAAAAATATATTTTATTGATTTCAGAGAGGAAGGGAGAGCGATAAAGAGAAGAAACATCAGTAATGAGAGAGAATCATTGATCGGCTGCCTCCTGCAAAACCCCCCCCCCCCCCCCCCATCGAGTCCACAACCCCGGTGTGTGCCTTTGACCAGAATAAAACCTGGGACCTTTCAGTCCATAGGCCAATGCTCTATCCACTGAGCAAACATCCTAGGGCTTTCTCTGATTTTTTTTGAGAAAGTGAAAGGGAGGGAGGATTGGGGGTGTGAGAGGGAGAGATGGATGTGAAAGAGATGCATCAGTTGGTTGCTTCTGCTCATGCCCCGACTCACGGGCGGGATCGAACCTGCAACTGAGGTATGTGTCCTTGACTGGAAATCGAACCCACAGCCCTTCAGTCCTCAGGCTGACACTCTAACCACTGAGAAAAATTGGCCATGGCAGTGGCTTAGATTTTTAAAACATATTTTGCTATATTGGGACAGCTGGTGAAATTGGAATAAAATGTGATAACTAGGTAACAGTATTATACCAGGGTTTTTGTTTTGTTTTTTTAAATAATTGTCCTATTGTAGGTATAAGAATGTTCTGGGTTAATGTTAAATACACTCTAAAGTGTTTAGGAGTAGCAGGCATCATATGTGCAATTTGTTTTTGACTGGCTCAGAGAAGTGTGTGTGAGAGAGAATGACAGTGTGAGAGAAAGGTCAGCAGTCAGGGAATCTGGGACAGGAGCTCTTGTGCTATTCCTGCAACTGTTTTAAATATGACATTACTTCAAAATAAAGCTACCCCCCAAAAAAATAAAAAATAAAACATCTATACAGTGTATCACTATAAAATACATTGCAGAATTATATTCCTTGAAAAGGGAAATCCTTCATAGTCCTACCTTTCCCCCCTGATTTTTTTCCTGTACCATGAATTTTTGTTCCACATCCCTGCAACAGCCTGGTCCACATACATCTAAGCTCCAGAGGCTGCTGCCCTCTAGTGTGCATGGGTGGTCACTGCAGCGAGCAGACTGGTCCTGCCTCTGGGCCGCCTCCCGCCTCTCCCTCCTCTGTGGTCTTTGCAGCTCCTGGCCAGTGATATTAGAAGGCCTATTTTGGGTCAGTCTTGGAGGCCCTTTGTTCAAGGCACACTCACAGGCCTTGCTGACCACTGCCCTGTTAACCTGACCCCAGGAGACCAAGTTCTGCCCTGCTCAGTGTCTCTGATTCTTTGGCCGTGGAAGGCAGTGCTCCACTCTCACCCCTGGATCAGGGCTGGGTGAAGGAGAGATTTAGTCTGACAAGAATAGGGGGCAGTGAGGAGATTAATTCCCAGGTAAAAGGGGGAAAAGTAAACACTCACTTTAAAATAAAATGCAGAATTATTATTTTCTCCCACCCCAAAAGTGCTTGGGTGCAGAGAGCCGTAGTTCATAGCTGTGCCTGGCCGCCTAACGAGCAGTCTCCTTGCAGCGCACTTACCGAATACCAAAGGAAATCCGCGTGGAGCCCCAGAAGTTCGCTGCGGAGCTCATCCACCGCCTGGAGGCTGTTCAGCGGACTCGGGAGGCAGAGGAGAAGCTGGAGGAGCGACTGAAGCGCGTGCGGATGGTGAGTTGGCTTCAGTCAGGGAGGCCACGCAGATCGTGGTTTCAAAATTACTTTATTTCAGCTTCAGGCCCTGAAGGGCCCCCTCCAGGTTTTCCCAGAGCCCCCTTCCCCCTACTTGACTACACACTGGCTCCTGACATGCTTTGACCTGTCCTGATGGTTAGCCATGGCACACTTTCCTATGACATCTACCCCTTCTAAAACGCCCCCCCCCCCCCCCCCGCTTGTTCCCAACCTGGGCTGTCTCCCCAGGAAGAGGTCCTTATGACTGGACCCTGAGTGTGGGCCCGAGGAGTGACCCAGCAGGTGTCAGAGCCGTGGCCTTGGTTGCCAGGGTTGGGGTATTTTTTCCACCTGCTTGTGCGAAGAGAGTTAAGAGGGAAGCCAACACAACTCTCAGTTATCGTCCCCAAAGTAGGCACCGCACAGTTCAACTCAGGGAGATTTGGCACAGGACATGTCCAAATGCAGACTAACCACCTCTCCTTTCACCCCAGGACCAGTTCCTTCCTGCTGTCCTTGGTGCCCTAAGCTCATTCCCCTCTACCAAGGCCCTCCCTGCCAGACAACTGACCCTATGCGTGAGCACACATGGCTTGCTGGCCACATCCCCACACCCACAGGCCCCCTTGGCATGTGGAGCTGAAATTTCCCTTGAGTGCTGGTGGATGGAGGCCCCTCAGCACCTCTGGGTCCTGGCCACATGCATCTGCGCAGAGCAGAGCAGGCCTGTGACAGGAAGGGCCTGCAGCTCTCACTTGTCACCTCAGAGCACAGAATGGCTTCAAGGTTTGGATGTAGGCTTCTATTTATCTTGTCTACTGACCTGTAGCCTCACTTGATGAAGTGTTGAATGCTAAGAACTTTGTAATATTTGTAATTCATTTGTTTAAATACCATTCTGCCCATAACTGCTGAGGAGATTCCTTGCTTTTGTTGTCCCGGGTGTCATTCTACACATTCATTTCCATACACATAAAGGGCATCAGTGCTGGGACATCAGTAACAAGCGTGCCCCTGGAGTGAGGCCTTCCCCGTGCCCCTTGCACTTCCTAGCTGTTGAACTTGATTCACTGAACCCAGTCCTTCCTGAATGCCATGAGCTTCCATGTCACTGGTAGACAGGCTTTTGCTTGTCTCTCAGCAGGTAGGAATTACCTGCTGGAGGTAAATGGTCAACCAAGTAAGTGGTTGTCTTTCATTCTTTTCTAAGTATTTTACGCTCAATACCTGAAACTCAAAAATGTGATGTTTCTTGAAGGAATTATTTCTCTACCTGATCACCTAATATTCCTATTTAAAATACAGTACAAAGCCGAAACTGGTTTGGGTCAGTGGATAGAGCATTAGCCTGCGGACTGAAAGGTCCCAGGTTCGATTCCGGTCAAAGGCATGTACACATCCTCAGTAGGGGGTGTGCAAGAGTCAGCTGATCAGTGTTTCTCTCTCATTGATGTTTCTAGCTCTCTGTCCCTCTCTCTTCCTCTTTGTAAAAAAAAAATCAATGAAATATATATATATATATATATATATATATATATATATATATATATATTTTTTTTTTTTTAAGTGATCTGCTTTATATAAAAAAAAAAATGGCTCTCAAAAGAAATTTCAATCGTTGTACTGTTGCTATTTGGCTCTGTTGACTAATGAGTTTGCCCACCACTAACCTAGAGGGAGAGGCTTTCAGGAGCCGGTCAGAGACAGCCGTTTAGTAGGAGCCAGGGACACTGTGCACTTACTGAGGCCAGCTCTTAGCGTCCATCAGAGCCTTATTGAGTAGTTGAAGGAATAGTTAGGAGCGTGTTTCATCATTTTACTGGCCTTCTCTGAACAAACATGCAGGGAACAGAGTCACCATGAAGTATGGAATATTTTAGAAGGAGCTAAATCCCAGTTTGCATGTTGTTGCAGAGCTGGTGTCTTCATTTGTGTAGCACAGTGTTTCAATGGGCATCAGCTCTCTTTGTGTGAGGGGTCCACTGAACATGTCTTAGTTAACAACTCTTAAAACAAATGTGTTCATTAAATAACGTATGTAATGTTTCTTAAGTGAAGTCTAAGAAAGGAAGAATTCACCACCTTTTTACTATAGAATTGAGTTATTATAATTGTTCTGTCAAGTTTTTAGTTTGGCTCAGTGGCTGTGTGTGCTTGTGTCGTCAGCAGGTCAACATTTTGGGTGAGACCTTGTGAAGGCAGCTGTGGCTGTGGGTGTTCTGTGTGTTTTTCTGGTGTCTGACTCAGATGTTTTTTTCTCTGTGGTGTCCTGGCAGGTGCAAGGCGGCTGTGTCTGGAACCACCACCAGCTCTCAGGACAGGGTTTGGACCCAGCTGCCAACACCTAGTTCTTTAACAGAAGTGTTCTAATGAACAGCCTTTTGTATGTCTGTCTCCATTGTCAGTTTAGGAGCTAATCGGCAGGCACATGGCCTCAAGCTCGGGTGGCCTTACTACATGCAGCAGCCTACAGTGGCCTTCAGAAATGGGTGCACGGGCTCTAGGTCATGTGCTCCACCCGAAGCTGCTCCAGCAGGTTTGCTCCCACAGGTGTCCCTTCGTCCTCAGTTGGGGCACACTGCCCAGCAGCTGTCAGTGCACTCTGTATCATGTGCAATTTGTAATCTAAATAAATCATGCTATAAATAATAGTCCTTTTTTAAAAAAGGATAACTACACAATTTTTAAATAACTTTCACTATAAAATTTTGGAAAAGCAAAGAAGAAAATGAAAACTATTAGCTGAACAGTTAGGTAAATCTGTAACATTTCCCAACTGTAAAATTGAATTCTTACATATGAAGAACTACTAAAAAAATGGGTCTCAGCTGAAGGTTACACCCCCTCGCCTCTCAGGAATCAGGAATTCGGAGGTTTCCTCTTGCTTGCTGCTGCTTTAGGGGATAAATGGCTTTAATACTTTCAGTGCCCTGGGAAGACCCCCAGTAAAAAGTCTCCTGGTTCCTTAGTCCTGCAAAGGGATTGGGATGGGGACACACGATGGGAGTCCAGGGGTCCAAGTCTCTGCTGAGGTGGCTCCAAGCTGTGCCCCAGGGGAATGGCGTGCATTCACCCCCCATCTATTAGGTCCCTTCTCTTGTACTTTGTCCTCTGCAGTGCCATTCTACCCGGAGCCTGTTCTAATGACATTTAGATACTTTTGCATTAGTATGAAATTTTGTGGTAAGCTTTTGGAGATCTTTTTATATTAAAGTATAGATTTAACTTAGTTCCACTTTCTTTTCAATTATTACCAAATTTACTGAACATTATTCTGGTTTGGACAATTTAATAAAGTGAGGAAATATGTATCTTTTTTTTAAATTAAGGTGATAGAATGCTTCTGTTACAGTAATGGTTATATTAACTTCTAGAGAATTGAATAAAATTCAGTTAATGTGAGAATTTATCAAGAAACACATAACAAGAAAAAAGCAAGAGCTCTTCTGTAAAAAGGCCTTTGAAAGTATGGCAGGAGAAATTGAGGAATAGGAAAATTTCACTGAAAGAAAACAAAAATCTATTGTGAAGCATAAAAGAAAACTAAACCAGTGTGGCGGTTGCTCTGTGGTCTCAATCAGTGGTGTGTTCCCTGAATCATTGGGGTGTGGCAGTTGCGTGCCCTTGCACACTTGTGGGCGAGTATAGCTCTCTGTCATCCTGCCTGCACCCCGTCCTGCAGCAGAGCCTGCTGAGAGCCTGGCCAAGTTTGTTCAGGAATTAGCAGGGACAGTAAAGCCTCTTGGAAGTCCGGCACTTCCCTTGGCCCTGACCAACTTTGTGGTTTGGGGATTTTTTATTTTATTTTTATTTTTGGTTGTTATTTGTATATTTCCCAAAGTGTGAGGTTTCCTTGGTGCAGCAGGTGACATGCGACCTTGTCTCTACAGGAGGAAGAAGGGGAGGATGGCGATGTGTCCTCTGTCCCCCCAGGGGCCAGCCATAAGCTGCCTTTGGCCCCAGCCTGGCACAACTTCCCACCCCGCTACACGGACGTAGGCTGCACAGGGCTGCGGGATGCACACGAGGAGAACCCCGAGAGCATCCTGGACGAGCATGTGCAGCGGGTCATGAGGACTCCAGGCTGCCAGTCACCCGGGCCTGGCCACCGCTCCCCTGACAATGGACATATGCCCAAGATGTCAGGAGTGCTGGGAGGAACAGCCCTGGGGCACAGTAAGCATGTGCCCAAATTGGGGGCAAAGCTAGAGGCAGCTGGCCTGCATCTTCATAGGCACAGCCACCACCACAGCCACCATGGTGTGGCCAGGCCCAAGGAGCAGGCTGAGGCCGAGGCCATCCGCCGGGTCCAGAGCAGCTTTGCGTGGGGCCCGGAGCTGCACAGTCACTCAGCCAAGACCCGAAGCCACTTGGAGAGTGTGGGCACCAACCCCAATGCCAGTGACAGCCTGGCCTACAGGTGAGTGTCCGGGTGGCCAGAGCCATGCTTTGGGATTGGGGCTGTGGATTCTGTCCTTGGGCTTGTGTCCATTGCCTTCTCAGAGAGAGAGGGGTTGCAATGAGAGACTGTGGCTCCTGTGGGTTCCGTTCTGGTTTTCTAGACTAGAATTCTCCTTTAGAAGTCTTTGAATCAAGGTCAGCTGCAGAGACTGCAGGCGTGTCGTGGCCAAGAGCTCAGGTGCCAGGTAGAGATAGGCACCAGGTTCTGCCTGGGATGTTGGTGCAGCCAGGGCTCCAGCTGTGAAGTGTGGTTAGATAAAGATCCATTTGAGAGCGAGGTGTCTGGATGAGGAGGCATGGCGGGGCCCTGGATGTCTCCACCAGGCAGGTGACCTGGCCTGGGAGGACAAAGGCAAGCGCTTCAGCTGATCTTTGGCTCCAGCTCTCCCAGCCAGAGCTGCCTTCCTTCACTTCTTGCCATGGAATCGCCCAAAACAAACCCCAGTAAGCCCACAGAGCTGGGGCGGAGGCTGTGAGAACAAGCCACTTTGTTGAGGCCTCCATGTTCAGGGAGCCATCCAGGGTTAAGCAGAGGTAAGTAAAGTCAGTGGGTGACTCCCAGGTCTTGCTTTTGCAGTGGGAAGGCGGGCACAAGCTCCAAAAGAAATGCCAAGAAGGCTGAGTCAGGGAAGAGTGCCAGTGCTGAGGTGTCAGGCCCTTCAGAGGACGCGGAGAAGAACCAGAAGATCATGCAGTGGATCATTGAGGGCGAGAAGGAGATCAGCAGGCACAGGAAGGCTGGCCACGGGTAAGTCCTGGGGGAGAGGGCACAGACATGCAAACTGATGGCGACCCTCAAGAGCTGCTTTACCAGTGTCCAGATTGGCGTAGCCCCACCTGCCGTCTTACTGCAAACCACGTACCATGGAAGCAGTTATTCAGAGGCATCTGGTCCGAGCTCTCACAGCAGAAACTCGATGGTACCTCCCCTGCGTGGACCTGTGATGGTGTGGGGTCCTGGGTGCAGCTTCAGTGTCCTAGGCAGGAGTGCCCACTGGTGAGGTCAGCCCGAAGTCACCATGCCTCTCGCTGCTGCCCCACACTGAGGAGGGGGCCAGCTGTCACATAGCTGCTCTCACAAATGACACCTCCACATGAGAATGACCTAAGGCATTGGGGAAGTGAGGCAGGTACCTGACCCCTTACTTCAGCAGAAGTGTTAGTACCTGATCATACCCTCAGCAGTGGGTGGGAGAAGGTTTTTGTTTAGTGTGCATCCCTCTGAGCTCTAGATTACCTCCTGGGCTAGTCCATCCTAAGGTGGACAGACCTGGCTTAGGATGGCACTAGGCCAGAGGTGGGTGACACCCAGGGACCCTGGGGCTGGTAGCATCTGTCCTTCAGTGGGTGGGGCATCCCCTCCTTCCTCACTCTCAGATTTCCCTGACCCTCGGCATTCTTTGGCCATGGTTAGGGCGGACTGAATGTATGTGTGAGGCTGGTGAACCTGACTTTGGAAATGAGCCCCCCACCAGTGTCCAGACATCATAATAGCCACAAAGCCTGTCCTAGTGAGGGGGCCTCTCCAGGAGCCCCTCTCCTGCTCTGATCGGAGTGGGTTCAATTCCCAGCGACTCTGAATTTCTCCCATATGGACTGAGAGAAGGAATGGGTCTGTCCCGGCCAGTCTTCTCGCCCGAAAAGGATTTCTATGGCTGAAGCGTTAAGAGGCGCATCTAGAAATAGCTCCCAGGTTCCAGAGGCTCCTGCCGTCAGTCAGACGGGCTATTTTAAATTATGGCCTTCAGTGTCCCACCAGGCCCTCTCTGGCCTCCCAGGAGTTCTTCCATAAGGCAGGTGGGCTGGGGGACATGGGTGGCAAGGAAACGAAGGGGTGAGGGGTGGGGAGTTAAAAGGGTTGAGAAGATGGGGATGTAGGAGGTTGGGATGGGGGGTGTGGGGAGGGGGGCAGAGGTGGCTAGCCTTGTGGGGTTTTTTAGGAGGAGGAGTCCACCTCCCTGGGGATCTTTCTTTGGGCAGTTCTGGAGTCAGGAGAGCATTTGGCCAGCCACTTCCAAGGAGGCCGTCTTGGGTTCCCTCATCTTTGCTCCTGGAGATTCCCCCTTTCGAGCTGTAGCTGCAAGAAGCTGATGTTTTCACTGGAATCCCATCAAGTGGTTGAATGATAGCGTGTTGCATGGGTATAAAGCACGTTCTCCAGGTTAAACAACCAAGAGGAAGACATGATACCACGTCGAGAGGAAATTATGTTTAGAATTATGCCACATGTGTTCAGTATTTTTTAATGGGGAAGGAACTAGATCGATATTATGAGTGGCTATTTCTAAATTATGGATTATTAATATTTTTTCTTTGACTTTTCTACATATTTCAGGTTTTTCATAAAGAACATTAAATACCAAAATCTTTTTTATAGAAAGTCTTTGTATAGGATTGATTTATATATTCAATAAAGCTGTTAAAAATGAGTTACAAAAAAAAAAAAAAAAATGAGTTACAGCCCTAACCGATTTGGCTCAGTGGATAGAGCATCGGCCTGCAGACTCAAGGGTCCCACGTTCAATTCCGGTCAAAGGGCATGTACCTTGGTTGCAGGCACATCCCAGTAGGGGTGTGCAGGAGGCAGCTGATCGATGTTTCTCTCATCAATGTTTCTAACTATCCCTCTCTCTTCCTCTGTAAAAAAAAAATCAATAAAATATATTCTTTTAAAAATGAGTTACAAGAAAAGAAGTGTGCAAGAAAGGAATGTCTGTGTCATGTAGTTTAGGAGGAAATTGTTCATCTGGCTTCCAGTGGCCAGTATCACAGGGCATTCCTTACCCAGGCACCCAGGGGTCAGTGCTAAGCTCAGCCTATGCTGCTGGCCCCTGCCCAGCTCCAGATGCCTGTCTAGGGCCCCAAGTTTCACGTTATGCCCGTCTGTTCTCTCTCAAAGGTCTTCTGGGGCGAAGAAGCAGCAGATTCACGAGAGCTCCAGGACCTTGTCCATTGAGCGTCCTGGGGCTGTGCACCCTTGGGTCAGCGCTCAGCTTCGGAACTCTGTCCAGCCCTCTCATCTCTTCATTCAAGACCCCACAATGCCACCCAACCCGGCCCCCAACCCCCTGACCCAGCTGGAGGAGGCCCGCAGGCGTCTGGAGGAAGAAGAGAAGAGAGCCAGCAAGTTGCCCTCAAAGCAGAGGTACAGGGCCACCGAGGAGAGCAGGGCTTGAACCTTTCAGGGTCCCTCCAGTTGCTGCGGCTAGGCTTTGGGGTGGAGCTCCCTGAGGCCTGAGGTCCATACATAGAGCCACACTGGGTGCCCACCAGCAGTACTGGGTTTTTCCTTCCACTTCCTTCCACACGGCCCCGCTAGAGGCAGATGGTCATTGCACTGTCCTGGGGAGGAGAGGATGTCTGTCCTCTGATCACGCCTCCTGTGCTTTCTGAGTTTGCACTCACCCTGGGCTTTATGGGAGGCTGTGGGCATGGAACTGCTGGAGATCGCACAGGTCACCATCGGTTGCTGTGCATGCTCAGCTCAGGGGTGTTGGTCCCAGTCGATCCAGGAGCCTTAATCCATGCCATTTGCAGGTAGAGCAGTAAGCAGTGCTAAAACATGTGCTATATAAATGCCTTCTGGAGAGACCCAGGCCCCACAGCCACTCCTCACTGTGCCTCTGGCTTTCAGGAGGCAGAGTGGCTCAGCCTGCTGCGCCTTTGGCCTTAGGCCAGGCCCTGTTCTCTCTTCCGGGGAAAGAAGGAGGCTACCCCTTTTAGTGACAAATCTTTCCAGGCGGGAGAGGGTGGCTTCCCTGACCCTTTCAGCGGGGCCTGAGGTCACTTTTCACATAAATGCTGGTTCTTTGGGATCTCCGGGCGATGATGGATCCTGAGGTGCCTGGAATCTGCAGTTCTCCCCAGGGCCTGGCATCACGGCCACTGTTTCCTCAGATGTCACCGGCTCCCTTGCTCACTCTTCAGTCATTCGGTTCCTGACTCTGCCTCCCCTCGGCCTCACTGTATGGGGCCTATGCTGCTCTGGGGAAGCTGGTGTCGGGTGCAAACCTTCCCTGGCATCCATCTCCTCAGGCACAGGTGGAGCCTGAAGGGGTCCCCGGGTGGCTGAAGGTGAATGTTTTTTACAGCCAACTTTTTTACTCTGTGATCTTGTTCGGTCAGTATGGAGCCAGCTGGCTCTGTGCAGACCCTGTGACCTGGAGGCAGACAGGGCAACGGAGGGCAGCCTGGGGAGAGGCTGGGCGGGAGGCTGGACTTCCTCTTGTTGCCGGGGCTTCTTGGGCCATCATTTCTGCTGTGCTCTCCAGGAGGCAGGCTCTCATTCCCTTCTCACCTGCACCTAGCCAGCTCCTCATCACACCATGTCTCTCTGTAGCCGGGGAGCCATTCGTGACTTGTGTTTTGTGGAGGAGCCGCCTGTGGGTTTTAGCCAGTGGCTCTGGCATCTCCACGTGTCATCGGTCCAAGGCATGGGAGCCTTTTGTAAATGGCCCAGCGCAGAGGTCTGGGTGTGACGGTGGGGTTCTAGGCCTCCCTGAGCTCCTCGTGGGGTGACTCCCACCCAGATCAGTCAGAGCAGAAATTATTGTTAGGGTTGCACAGCGCATGCCCAGCATGGATGGTCACTTGGAGAGGAGCTGCTGGCCAGTGAGACCCAGAACAGGACTCTGGCTGCTTCGGAGGGAGCAGTGACCATGCTCAGGACCCAGGCCCATGTCAGAGGGCCAAGGGGGAAGAGCTATGTCCTCAGGGAAGAGGCCAGAGGCAGGTCTTCTCAGTGTGGATGAATGACAGGATCCTAGCACCTCAGATGAGGAGTTCCCCAAAGCACATTCCAGGGAACCCAAGGGCTCTGACCACAACTGAAGAATGTGGGAAGTCTGAATGATGAAGGCAGCATCTGTTTCTTGACTGAACCTGACTGCTTCACCACCCAAGAAGGGGTTTGCCCGACTCACACAGTGGAAGCCTCGCATGGTGGTGATGGAACCTCTTGGGGAGCACATGCTCCGCCTGCTGTCCGTCACCCTGTTGTCACCGCGGAGTGTAGAGGCCCTGCCCCAGGCCTGTGTGGCTCACTGACGCAGTTGTTCCCTAGGTATGTGCAGGAGGTCATCCAGCGGGGGCGCTCTTGCGTCAGGCCGGTGTGCACGCCCGTGCTGAGCGTGGTGCCAGCAGTGTCCGACACGGAGCTCTCCGAGACAGAGTATGTGCGTCCCCTGCGGGTCCTCTCGTACTGCTCGCCCCGCCTGTGCTGTGGGCCAGGGGCTGTGGAGCAGCAGCCGTTTCCCAGGGCGGGAGCCCGGCTCTGCACTGGAAGAGCTGGGGCTGCAAGCTGTTCACAGGCCTTTCCTTCCTGTCTCTGTCACACGGGACACTGACCATCCACGTGGTGACAAATGACGAAGAGGAGGTCCCATGTGTCACCAGCCAAGACTCAGGACTTAGGTCAGGGCTGCACCCCTGGTTCCTCTGGCACACTGCTGACTGAAAGCATCGGCACCTGTGGTGCACGTCCAGCTGCTGTGTGCAGTGAGCCTGCGTGCATTCTCACGTGGGACGTATCTGTCCTAGGTATGCGTAGAGTAGGGCGGGCCTAGCGCACAATGCTGGCTGCCCATCCCTGCACTTCTGCTCGAGATAGAGCAAAAGGAAGTCCTCCACCAAAGTCCTCCCCCAAGCTTACCCCAGACAATGCCAGCCAGCTCTGATTGTCCCCCCAGGTCACCGGCCCCTGGAGGAGCAGGAACTGTCTCCTGTCTGGAGAGAACGGGCTCCCAGGACAGGCTGGGCGTGAGGTTTCAGGACTGTGGGGAGGAAAGCAGGCGCCATGGAGTGTGGCTCTAGGGCCACCAGGGAGGGAGGGTCCTCATGGAGAGAAGAGCCCACTGTGAGTTAACGTGGCCTTCCTGATATGACCCTGGCTCAGGAAGCTTCTTACCGTGTCCAGCTGGCAAGAGCCAAGGACTGTGCCCATGTGTCCTGGGCAACTCCAGAGCAGTCACAGGACAAGGGGTTCTGGGGGACAGAGTGCTATCTGTCCCAAACAAGAATGGCGGCTCAGGACCCATCAGGGTGAGGGCCCTCCCCCAGCCTGAGTGGGAGATGGTGCTGGCCTCACCCCTCTCTGGGAATCTGGCTGGCTGCTGCCTCTGGTCTTTGGACAAGCTCTCCGCCGTGGGGCAGGTCCATTTTAAGACCTAGCACAATTGTTTGTCCAATTCCTGCCTTCGGGAGGTTTTTATTTGGGAGCAGCAGGCCTCATCCGGGTACAGGCTGTGTAGCCCAGCCCAGAGGCAGGGGCTCTATTGGCTCCAGTGGCCTGGCCGCCTTAAGCGGGGAGAAGGATGTACTGTGGGCTCCAGCCCTGAGAAGCCTGCTGGCCCATCTCCATGTGGCGTGTCAGGGGTCTTTCATTAGCCAGTCCAGCCACGGGAGGCCAGGAGCTTCAGTGGTGGCGCAGAGCAGCAGGTGAGCGGGGGCACTGCGGAGATGTGGCAGGAGGAAGGGGGCGGTGAACTGGCGTCCACGCTGTGTCTATGATAGAGTTGGCGCAGGGTTAGAACCCTGGGTTGAGAGACCATTCAGGGCGAGGGCCCCTGGGGACTGAATGCAACTGAGTGGGTGGGGTGAGCATTGGGGCCTCCGGACGCATGACGGTTCTGAGTGTGGCAGCTCATTCCTGCAGGCCTTGCCTGTCGTTTCCTGGGGAGCCGGGGCCTGTCGGGGAGACGACCTGTGGACTCTGAGCTCAGCAGTAACCGCTGTTTCTGCCTCCAGGACGAAGCCGCAGAAGAAGGCAGGAGGTGGGGGTGCCCAGCTGTGTGACAGCATCGTTGTGGCCTATTACTTCTGTGGAGAACCTATCCCCTACCGGACCCTGGTGAGGGGCCGGGCAGTCACCCTGGGCCAGTTCAAGGAGCTGCTGACCAAGAAAGGCAACTACAGGTGAGAGTTCAGGGCTGGGGCCTGTGACAAACAGGCACCCTGTCCAGGAGAGTGTGGTGTGCCGGGTGCCCTGTTCCTACCCTGTTCTTATCCCGTCTAGTCCTTGTTCCCCTCTTACCTGTTAACCACCCTGAGCTGTTAGCAGGAGCACCTGCCGTGTGAGGTGTTGATGGCTACACAGCTCCCAGCCTTCGGTGACTGAGGCCTCCAGGCCAACCCAGGGGTCTGAACAGTCCTTGCCTTAAAAGTGGGGAAGCAGCCGAAACCGGTTTGGTTCAGTGGATAGAGCGTCAGCCTGCGGACTGAAAGGTCCTGGGTTCGATTCCGGTCAGGGGCATGTACCTGAGTTGCAGGCACATCCCCAGTAGGAGGTGTGTAAGAGGCAGCTGATTGATGATTCTCATCGGTTTCTAACTTTCTATCCCTTTCTTCCTCTCTGTAAAAAATCAATAAAATATTTTTTTTAAAAAAAGTGGGGAAGCAGGCCCAAACACTGTGGTCTGTCTGTCCTCATGTTAGTAAGCCTTTCTCCAGCCTTTTGACTCAACCCCTTTTCACTAGATACAGAATCCAGGACGCCATTCCCAGGGTCTGCTGTGGGCTGCTCCGCCCTGCCAGCCCGAGACTGGCCCCTGAAGGCTCCTGAGTGAGCCCTGTGGGAGGAAGGGCCTCATGGGGTCAGCCCCCTGCAGCCTGCGGTGGGTGGTCTCTCCACTGAGTGGAGAGAGTGCTCTTTGGAGGCAGAGGGTGTGGCCACTAGAGGAGGGCCAAGCTCCGCTGGCCTCTGCTTGGCCTTAGCGGGGGCACATCACCCCGAAGAGATGGGAGATGACAGGCTCAGTCCTTAGGAAACAGAAGCCCTGAACCTGCCTATGTCTCCCCCGTAGCATCCTAGAAGCCAGGGCGGAGGACCCCCCAAGTGGTCACTGTCCTTTCACTGTCAACTCTCTGGCAAGTGGGCATCAGGCATGCCCTGCGTGACGTGTTTGGGTGTGGCCACCAAGCGCTGTGCGTGTGTGAGACCTGGGGGCGTGGGCAGGAGAGGAGTGGACTGGCCCTCATCTCTCCCCCTCCCCCAGATACTACTTCAAGAAAGTGAGTGACGAGTTTGACTGTGGAGTGGTGTTTGAAGAGGTTCGGGAAGATGAGGCCATCTTGCCTGTCTTTGAGGAGAAGATCATCGGCAAAGTGGAGAAGGTGGACTGACCCACAGGCCAGGCTCTGCACCAGGCGGGGCCCTCGTCAGGGGCGGGGATGGCCACACAGAACAGGAAAGGCTGCGCCATGTGAGGTGCAAACATGCGGCTTCTCCCGTGCGGCCAGAGACTGCCTGCCCGTAGCCACCCCCCTTCGGTCCATCTGTGTCCAGGTGAGCAGGGGTCCTGCTGCGTGGTCTCACAGGTGTCTGTCCTGCTGCCGACAAGGAGGGGGCCGTCCACTCCTCCACAGCACTACTCTGAGAGTCCGCCCAGCAAGCAGGGAGCAGGCCCAGCGGGGCTGCCTTGCTGACCCTCCCCAGCGGGTCCCCGCTGCTAACCACGGGCCAACCCCCTGGCGCCTCCCCCAGGGCTCTGCTTCTCCCTCCAGAGATTGCCCACCATGCCCTACTCCGGTCAGGGCCGGCTCAGGCCCGGGGCTCAGGGGGCCACTAGGGGTCTCTAAATTGTACATGTCACCGAGTGCCTTCAACACAGCTGTCTCTTGCCTGCCACTATGTGGATCCGGCGACGGGGCACCTCAGTGCCCCCTCTCCACCCTCATTTCCACAGCGCCGGCTCAGCGGGTCCCGGGCTCTTCCTCTGTGAGGCCCATGTAAATATGTACATTTCTCAGGCGAGGGCTAGCAGGGGCTGCCCCAAGCCCGTTTTTCACGCTGACTTGTACAATGATCTTTTAAAGGTACTTGGATAATAATGAAATAAAACCAGTTTCGAACCATCCCTGGCTACAGAGTGCACGCATCTTCTGTCGGTGGGGTCTGGTGAGTGGGTGCGCCATCCTCAGCCCAGCTTCCAGCACATGTGACCCGTCTCCTCTAGCCAGGCCTGGGTGCGCGCAGCCCATGTCAGGCCTCGGCAGCGAGGCTACATGGCATCCAAGGGGCTTGGGAGCAGGGTGTCTCGAGGACCAGGATGGCAGCAGCACCGTGTGGGGACCAGAGCATACCTAAGCCGGGACCCCGAGGAGGTCTGGGGGCGAGGGCGAGGCCCCATTCAGCATGGAACCCCAGGAGGCTGGGATCTGGCCAAAGCCAAAGGGGGGCCAGCCGTGCTCAGGAACCACACGCAGTCCAGGGCCAAACGCTTTATTCAGTGCCCACCATTTCCCAGGCGCCGAGGAGCTGGCGCCCCTGCAGTGATGGGGTGGCTACAGCTCCTCCTTGAGATCCACGGTGGAGTTGGCGATTGTATCCTGGAAAGGGTCACAGCCCAGCCTTAGCCCAGCCTTGCCCAGTCAGTCCCATAGCCTCCCGTCCGAGGGCATGCCCGAGGCCTGGCACCTTGCATTAGAGGCACTCACCGGGAAGGGGACTGAGGCCTCGGGGGGCTCCTCTTCGGGTAGCTTGCCCCCGTTGTCCAGGAACTTGGAGAAGGTCTCCAGGTCTCTGGCGCTTTTGTATTCAATCACCTGGGGACCGGAGGGTTTGGAGGATACGCTATGTTCCGCCCAGACCACACCCAGTCTACACTCCACTGGCTGAGGCCCCACCCTACCAAGACCCTTTCCTGCCCCCAGGCCACACCCCATGCTAGCTAGCCTTGCACTCTAAGACCACGTGCCATCCCAGAGCGCGCCTACTAAGGCCACACCCTGTAAGGCCTTGCCCCATCTCCATCTAAGGACTCAGTCATCAGACCACAGAAGATGGTCCTGCCTCACCTTCCGACCCTGCCCTGCTGGGAAGTACTTGAGGGTGGGAAAGCCTTGCACAGCAAAGCCCTCCACTTCATTGGCCGTGGCGTCTAGCTTGGCGATGATGATGTCTTCGTGGTCCTTGTACTTTTCGGCCAGTGCCTCCCAGGTTGGTGCCATCTCCTTGCAGTGGGTACACCATGGGGCATCTAGGAGAGGGGGATGTTGGCACAGCCAGCAGGACCCCATACTGCCCACCTATCCACTGTCTACTGCCCTCCACACTCACAGAACTTGATGAACACATTCTTGGTTTCGTCAAAAGCCACCTGCTCGAAATTCTTGCCCACAAGAATCTTGACAGGATGCTGGTCCCAGTCAGGGGGGACCTCTTGACTCAGAAGGTAGGGCTGGGGGGAACCGGGCCGGGCGCTTTGTTGGGGATCTCTCCTGAGAGCTGCTGCTCCCGCCCCCACACCCTAGGTGGGCCCTCCAGCACAGACCTTGACCTTGCCGCCGAGGACTGAGTCGCAGAAGGTGGTGACCCAGGCAGCAGTGACCGGCCCGCTGTCAGCAGGCATGTACTTCTTGGTGGTCTCCATGTTGATGAAGCGCAGGGTGGGGGCCTCCTCCGCCCTGAGCCCGAAGTACTGTAGCACGTGGTTGTTGTTGGCACTCACGTCCACCGCCACGAACAGCACCTGCCAAGAGGGGGCATGCACTGGGCACTGGCCTCCCCGCTGCCCGCCCGGCCCCTCCAGCCAGTACCTGGCCCCGGAATGGGAGGGCTGCCTCCCTGAAGCCGGCCAGCAGCTCCTGGTGCGGGGCCAGCGTCTGGTTGATGAACAGCAGCAAATGGTTGAGGATCCTGGCCGCAAAGATCTTGGGGGACGTCTGCAGGGGCGAGCAGGGCTCATGGGAGCTGGCTCTGTGGTCACCCTCCCCCTCCACCCAATGCCCATGCCTGTACCTGCAGCCCAACGCACCTGGCTGTTGAACTCCGTGACCAGGTGCATGCTGTGTGTGAGGAGGAAGTGGGACAGGTCACCCTGGTCCAGGCCCAGCTCCTCATCCACCGGGAAGTCTGCCCGCCCCTCGTCAAACTGGACAACACCAGGCGGGTCAGTAGGAGCCATAGCCCAGGCCCTGACCCCCGCCCTGGCCCAGACACACCTTCTTGAAAAGGACCACGGTGTCCTTGGTGAGGCCAAACTTCTGAAAAAGCTGTGGACGATCAGTAAGGCCAAAGGTCATGTCCAGAGCATCCTGGGCCAGAGCCAGGAAGGTTGCCACGTCCTCATCCTGCAGGTCCTAATAGATCCACGTCTGTGAGGCCTCTGGGGCCACAGGCCCTGCTCCCAAGGCCTGGCCCCTGTGCCCACTAGCTCACCTGGAAGAAGCCGATGACCACCATGTCGTGGGCATCTATCAATGCTTGGGCACCCTCTTCGTCTTCCAGGCGTGTGGTGCTGGGCCCCACCCGCCGCCTCAGCCACTCAGCAATGCCCGCGGCTTCCCGGGGGCCTGTGGGGAGTCCTGTCAGCCTGGGCCCAGCCCCGCCCTGGCCCACCCCACCACGCACACGCCTGCCCCTGTACCAGTATAGTCCTCCGGATCCGTGCGGTTCCCGTTGCGGAAGAACTTGAGCGTGGGGTACTCGGTCACAGCAAACTCCTTGGTCAGCTCTGGCTCTGAAGGCCCATCCACCTTGGCCAGCCTGGTTTTGGCTGACTCTGCTGCCAGCAGGGCAGCTGCCTTGATGTACTCAGGGGCCAGCGCCTTGCAGTGCCCACACCACGGGGCATCTGGGGGACAGGGCCATGAGTGTCCCTGGCCTCCATGCCCCTGGTCGCAGCCCCGGCTCCCGCCCGGCCAGAGCTGGCAGACTGGGGATCGGTCAGCTCCAGCATGGAGCACGCCTGATGCCTCCCTCCTGAGCTCAGCCACACTAAAGCCCACACCAGAGGCCGGGCTACTCCAGGCTCCCGGGGCAGGAGTGCAGTGGCCAGCACCCTCCGCACAGTGAGTTGGAGAAGAATCCTCCGTTGCTGCTCCCTAAGGCCGTGGCCCCTGCCATATGCCACTGCAAGGCCTGCCAGCTCAATGGCTTGTACATGTGTAAAGGGTTGTAAGAAAGCCACGGAAGAATACGCAAGGTGTGAGTCTTACCTGGCTCTTCACAGTCTTACTGAGGGTCTCCCGTATATCTGTGCCTCCCCTCCCACCTGCTCCAATTGGACCCCCAGACCAGCTCAGCCCCAAGGCTCTGCCTCAGGTGCCCTCTGAGGGAGCTGAGTGCCCATCTGGGAGGCTAAGCCCCGGGGTCCACGTGGTAGGAGGTTGAGCATACGGGGTGACACCTGCGGGTCCCCCAGCCCTGCGGACCCTGTGCACTCACAAAACTCCACCAGCAAGGCAGGGTGCTCCTGCAGGGCCAGGCCCAGGGTGCGGTGGCTCAGCACTAAGATCCCATCCTCCTCAGGAACCTCCTCCTTCCCGGGCTCCTCCGAGGGCGCCCCTGGCTCCGGCCCCTGGCCCCGCAGGCTCAGGGCCCCGAGCAGCAGCAGCAGCAGCACAGACGGGAGCTGGCTGTCCATGGCGGTGCCGGGGCCCGTGGGGCGGGGGCAGATAAGGGGGCCAGGGGCCAAGCAGCAGTTGCCACGTGTCACCCAGTCCTGGTCGCAGGAAAGATAAGGCCCCGAGGCTCCCCCCACCCCCGGGGGAGGGGAAGCAGACAGAGGCAACACGGGCACTGAGACAGGGTGACGTTTAATAGGGCTATTCAGGGCACAGCGCCAGGCCCGGGAGGGGTGTCCCGAGACGGGGCAGAGGGCGTGAGGGGTCTGGTCACGGGCTGAGGGGGCTGGGAATGCTCGGGGGTCCCTGTGCAGTGACTGACAGAGGCAGAGGGAACGAGGACCCCGAGTGGGGAGACAGCGGGGGGGTGGGCGCTCAGCTCTTCCAGTCTTGGCAGATGTGGAGGCCCCACTCCCAGGACAGGTGGTCTGCCCTGTCGTCATCCGTGAAGAAGGACGTGACCACGTAGGCGCCCCTCGCCAGGGCGCCCCGTGGCGCCTCCTCCGCCGGAGTTACAAACTCATACTCCTGGGCTCTTGGGCCGTAACTGCCCACCATGTGCACAGCCTTGTCCACTGGGGGAGGAGGGGGGCATCAGGGGCCGCCCTCTGCCCCCCGGCCCCCGCCCCCAGCCTCCAGGCCCTCCGCACGGCCCTCACCTCGCAGGCCCCTGCGGTAGGTGTGGTGCAGACACTTGAGGCCACTGACAATCTCCTGATTGACCTGAGGGACAAAGAGCGTTACGTGGTCCCTCTGGGGAGCTGGTCCTCTCGGCGGCTGGCATCGCCCAGGACGGCTGCCCTCACCTTAAAGGTGATCTTCACTCTGTAATCAACCCCCTCCTTCAGGACGAACACCCGGTTCTTCAGTGCAGCCAGCTCCCCTGTTAGCGAGAGCGCAGCGAAGGATCAGGCTCCTCCGATGGCTGAGGCCCTGCCCCAGGGGCCCCCGAGGGGGCGGTGTCTGTGAGGTCCACGTGATGGGTCTGAGGACGAGGGTCTGGGCACAGGGTCCTAAGCGGTCTCTGCCCCAAAGCTCAGTCCGTGGTTTGCGGCAGGAGCTTACCTGTGAGGTCCATGGTCATGGGCGCGGGAGCCTGCTCAGACATCAGAGTCAGCCTGGTCACCTGCACGTTGGGCAGGCTGGGGTCTGGGGAGAAATGGGAAGTCTGCTGGATGCACCCCCGATCCCCACCCCGCCCCGCTCACACCCATGGCCCAGGCATACCCACGGCCGGCAGCGGGGGGCCCAGGAGCACCCGCTTGTACTTGGCCAGGCTCTCATCGTCCGGGTCCAGCTGCTGGATCTCCAGGAGGCTCTTCCTCCCTGGGGCCCGGTACCCGGGCACAGCCTCGTCCAGCACCTCCTCGGGCGGCAGCTGCGCCCCTTCCTTTTCTGTCAGAAGGACTGGGGTCGGGGAGGTGAGTGAGCAACTGCTGCCAGCAGCTGCCCTGGCATTCAACGGGAGCCCCATCTGACCAGGTGGACTGCCCGGCCCAAAGAAGCAAGAGGAAGCCGGTAGGGGCTGAGGGAGGAAGGTGTGAGCTCAGAGAGGGAGGTGCATGGGGGCTCAGGCAGGGGGTGGGCTCTGGGGGTGGACAAAGGCTCACAAGAGCCAAGTAACGTTCCCAGAGGCATCCACTGCCTTCTCCTGGCCCAGCCACTCACCTAGGGATTCTGAGGCCAAAGGTGGGGGCAATGAGACCCCAAATGGGGACCAGCTCCAAGGACCAGGGGCCCCGCCATGGAGGGGTGACCTCCAAGGTCTTTCCTGGAGCAGAGGCTCTGCCCTCAGTCCCCTGAGTGCCCCAGTGCTCCAGGCCTCTGCCCATATTCCCACAATGGACTCAGAGCCTCTGCCCGCCCCTATAACCTGCTCAGCCAGGGACGGGGGCTCTGAGGGCCTCCCACAGTCCTGGGAGTTCCCTCCACATGTTCCTGGGGCGGGGGGGGGCTCCCAGGTCTCCCGGAACCCCTCCTCACCGGCTGCGCAGGGTCTCTAAGCCCTTCCTCCCAGTGTCTTGGGACAGGGCTTGTCTGAGTCCCTGCTCACTGCGCCCAGTCTCCTCGGGGATCGCGCGCACCCAGCCCCACCCAAGGGAGTAGGCTCCGGGGGCAGGTGTCCAGGGGGAGGGGGCCCCTCTGTCACCCAGGCTGCACCAGCAGACCCGCCCACTCTTGGCTCCGGCACCGAGTGATCAGCCGGAAGGAGGCCCCCCACCCACCCCGCCGGAGCGCTGCCCGGAGGGTCCCCACGCGGCCAAAGTTTCCGCCGGGGAGGGGCCGGTCCCCACCCGGACTCCCGGCCCCGCCTGAGCCCCCGCCACGTGGCCGCCCGCCCGCCCGCCGGCCGCTCACCTGGGGCGCACAGCGCCCGCCGGAGCCGCTCCCACAGCTGCGCCCCCAGCTCGCACGCGTCCAGGCCCAGCATGGTGGCCGCGGCCCGGCCCCAGCAGCCCGAGGAGCCGCGCCCGGCCTGGCGCTCAGCCCCGGCGCGACTGCGGTGAGCTCATCCCGGCCGGCAGCGCCCCCCGCCCGCGCCGCGCCCGCGCCGCGCGCCCCCTCCGCTCCCCCTCCCGGACCCCGCGCCGCGCGCCCCCTCCGCTCCCCCTCCCGGACCCCGCGCCGCGCGCCCCCTCCGCTCCCCCTCCCGGACCCCGCGCCGCGCGCCCCCCCCCGCTCCCCCTCCCGGACCCCGCGCCGCGCGCCCCCTCCGCTCCCCCTCCCGGACCCCGCGCCGCGCGCCCCCTCTGCTCCCCCCTCCCGGACCCCGCGCCGCGCGCCCCCCCCCCGCTCCCCCTTCCCGGACCCCGCGCCGCGCCCCCCCCCCTGGTCCCCCTCCCGGACCCCGCGCCGCGCGCCCCCTCTGCTCCCCCTCCCGGACCCCGCGCCGCGCGCCCCCTCCCCGCTCTCCCTCCCGGACCCCGCGCCGCCTGCACAGACGCGCGTGTCGCCGCACGGCGCGGGCACCGGGTTGCCCTGCCTCCGACCCGTGGACACCGCCCTGGCACGGTCCGGCGGCCCCCGCCTGCGCCCCGCGCTGGCCCTGGGCCCCTGACTCCCCGCGCCCGCGGGTGGGGCTCTCCGGGGAACCCTCAGGGCGGGGCCGGGCGGGGCGGGCAGGTGCGTCCCCTCCCCGTGTCCCGGCTCCACTGCCAGGCAGCAGTGCTGGCCGCCCCGCCCATCCTCCGAGCTTCTGTCCAGGCAGAGGGGACCCAGAACCGCCTGGCCGGGGGCTGGGGAAGCTGTGTGTCTGCACAGCCTCCCGGCCCTGCACCCCGAGGTTCCAGTCAGCAGCACAGAGCACACACGCCCGGGGCTGGGTCCCCACCCGCACAGCCATTTCTCGGTGTTTATTCACTGGCCTGGGTGGGTGGTGGGGTTGGGTTGGGGTCTTTATGCTCTGGGGACCCAGAAGGTTCTGAGGACCCCTCCTTGTCCGTGGGGAGAAGAGGACACTGATCCCAAACAGAGCCGGGTGTGGGGTGTTGAGAGGCAGGGCGGAGAAGGGGCTTCTGGTCTTGGCACCATAGCAAACCCCGGGTGAGTCACGGGAGCAGGCCCTTGGGGCCAGGGGTAAGCGGGACTTCAGGCGGGGCCGCTGGACCAAGGGCCTAGGTCTGAGTGGAGCAGCCTGAGTCCCCTTCTCCCTGGGCCCCTCTGCCCACTGCTGTTTCTGAGGACGCCCAGGGATTGGGCCCGTCTTGCCCAAAGGCGCCCCTTTGTGAACAGGAGGCCGTCAGGCCCTGGGGGTTAGGGGGCACTTGGACTTGGGAGGGACTGTTCCCCTCCAAGCCCCCCTGCCCACGCCCCCCGTCTTTCCAAGGCAGGATTCCCCTCTCTCCCCCTCTGCCCCTGCTGGGGCCCAGGGCCTTCTGGGCCCCATTCCTGCTGCCTCTTCTGTGGGATAGGCGGGTCAGTCCCGGGAGCTGCTTGTCCCCGGGTGAGGGACAGCTCTGGCCTCTGTGGCCTTCTCGTGAGATGTCCACTCACCCAGAGAGGACAGCGGCCTGGGCCGGCCTGACCTCACTGTGTGGTGGGGCTGGGCGGGAGGTCACTGGGATCTGAGGCAGGATGGTGACCTGGCTGGGGTAGGAGCTCCCTCCAGTCCCCAGACCCCAGCTCCTGCCGGCTGTCCTCACCAGCAGGGGACGTGGACTCAGATCACATGTGGAAGGCTGCTGGCCAGAAGCTAACCCCGTCACCCCGGCCCCCAAACCCCTGAGGGGAGAGGGAAGGAGGGGGCCTCTTGTTTCCAATAAGCAGAAATGGACCTGTTTGTAGCCCTTAAGATGGCCTCAGCAGCCAAAACCGGTTTGGCTCAGTGGATAGAGCGTCGGCCTGCGGACTGAAGGGTCCCAGGTTCGATTCCGATCAAGGGCATGTACCTTGGTTGTGGGCACATCCCCGGTAGGGGGTGTGCAGGAGGCAGCTGATCGATGTTTCTCTCATCAGTGTTTCTAACTCTCTATCCCTCTCCCTTCCTGTCTGTGAAAAATCAATAAAATATATATATTTTTTTAAATGGCCCCAACAAAGGAGGTCTGGGGTGGGGGTGGCCAAGAAGTTGGAGGAAGGAAAGGGCTGGGACAGGCGTGTGTGTGTGTGTGTGTGTGTGTGTGTGTGTGATCCTTCCTTCCCAATAAAGGGATCTCTGCCAGGTCCCTAACTGGCCCCACCCAGGTCCTGTGCAGCTGATGGAAAGTGAGCCACCTTCCCCCAATCTCAAAGGACCCTACCCAGCACCCTATGCAGCCACAAAATGTCACAGGTGCTGGTGGCATCCACCATGTCCCCCAGGGTACCACACAATGGCAAGCACACCTCCTAGGGCAGTCTACCCCCTGTCTGACCCCACAGCGCCCTCCACCCCTGGTCCCTGCAGGGGTCACCCATTGTCCCCCACCCCAGCCCACCTTGGTCAAAACTTCCCTCTGCTGGAAACCCTCCCCGCACACAGCCCCCCCTCCCCTTCCCTGACCTCCCACCTTCCCCCTGAGTCCTCCCCCCTCTCTGAGTTCCCCTCCCTCTTCCCCGAGCCCCCACCCTCTCCCAAGCCCCACTCAGGGCGCCTCCACAGCCACCAGCTCCCAGCAGGTCCTCCCCACGGCAGGGGGAAGCTCCTGGGGGTGGCTGGCCTGGCACCGGCCCCTTCTCAGACCCCAATGGGACCAGGGACCCACTCCAGACCAGGGAGGGTTAACTCGGACTCGGGGCGGGGCAGGGTGGCGTGGGGCATGCCAACACCCCCCAGGGCTTCACTCCTCGCCATGGCCATGGCCGCCGGCCCTGCGACCCACGGTGGGTGCCCCCGTGCGCAGATGCCTCATCTAAGCAAGGTGGGTGCGGGTGAGGGTCCCACGGCCCCAGGATTTCTGGCATCAGGGCTGGGAGGGGCAGGAGAGGAGTGGGTGCAGGTGAGCGCAAGTGTAGACTTCAACCTGGGGGTGTTGTGGGGCTGGGTGAGGCCGCAGAGACCCCCCCCCAAGGGCTGGGGGTTAGGGAGGGTCCCATGGCCTTCACCCCGCCCCCACCCATTGCCAGCAAGGCCTGACACCCGCCATCTGTGAGCGTTAATCTCTGCCCACACTGATCCGGGCAGCCAGGTCGGTGGAATCGGAATCGGGATGTGGGGTGGGGGAGGCTGGCTGGGGCGACCCCGCAAGCATCCCCTTTGCCCAGATGGAGCGGGTGGTCGTGAGCATGCAGGACCCCGACCAGGGCGTGAAGATGCGGAGCCAGCGGCTGCTCGTCACCGTCATTCCCCACGCGGTGACTGGTGAGGCTGGGGGTGGGGGTGGGGGCTGCTGGCCCTGCCGCAGCCTCGGCCTCCGGCCTCCGCCACACAATCTCTGCGACTCCGCAGGCAGCGACGTCGTGGAGTGGCTGATCCAAAAGTTCTGCATCTCGGAGGAGGGTAAGGGGTCCGCGCACGTTCCATCCTGGCACCTGGCTCACCCTGGGGTCCCGGGCTCCTGAGGCTGGGCCTCCTGGGGCTCAGCAGGGTTTGGGCCAAGCCCAGCGTGTGGGGAAGGGGAACTCATCCCCAGAGGCCCTGCTCAAGTCTCCCCAGATGAGAATTTGCCGCCTGCCTTACCCTCCCCACCCCCCCAGAGGCGCTGCACCTGGGCGCCCTGCTGCTGCGGCACGGCTACCTGTACGCCCTGCGGGACCCCCGCCCCGGGCTGCAGCTGGACCAGACGCTCTACCGGTTCCAGGTCAGGCTCCGCGGCGGGCGGGTGGGACCCCCGCAGCCCGACTGGTGGGGACGTCGGGGGCTGGGGTGACGTTCCAGCAGGCCTGGTGGTCTCCTGTCCCCTCCCCACAACGCCTGCACTGGAAGTTTCCTTTTTTAAAAAAATATTTTTAAATATATATTTTATTGATTTTTGTACAGAGAGGAAGGGAGAGAGATAGAGAGCTAGAAACATCGATGAGAGAGTCATTGATCAGCTGCCTCTTGCACACCCCCTACTGGGGATGTGCCCGCAACCAAGGTACATGCCCTTGACCGGAATCGAACCCGGGTCCCTTCAGTCCCCAAGCCGACACTCTATCCATTGAGCCAAACCGGTTTCGGCTGGAAGCTTCCTTTTTAAAAAAAATATTTTATTGATGTTTTGCAGAGAGGAAGGGAGAGGGGTAGCCAGTTAGAAACATCGGTGAGAGAGAATCATCGATCAGCTGCCTCTTGCACACCCCCTACTGGGGTTGTGCCCGCAACCAAGGCACATGCCCTGGACCAGAATCGAACCTGGGGCCCTTCATCCCGCAGGCCGACGCTCTGTCCACTGAGCCAAACCGGTCAGGGCTGGAAGCTTCCTTGTGGTAGAAGGGACAAGTTAAGGGGAGGGGCCTTCCCTTGTTTCTCCGGGGCCAGAGTGGAGGGAGGATTTTGCCAGCTCCCCGGGGCCTTAGCCCCACTCCAAGAAGGAGCTGTGTGGGGCACCTCGGCGGATCTGTGTCCTCCGTCACGATGGAGCTCCCTGCCTGCCATAGGGACCCAGGTCAGGCCTGCCTTCGCCTGTCCCTGCCCCCCACAGAGACGGTGACTAAAGCTGGGGCTTGGGAAGGCCCCGCCCGCCCCTCCCTGGCGTGGAGGCCCCCGGAGCGGGGTCAGGGCCCCCAGGAGGTGAATGGAGCTCAGTTCCAGGTGGGAGAATGGCGGGTGTCAGCCATGGACAGACAGACAGAGTCTCAGGCTCCCCACCCCCCCAGCCCGCCAGTCTCTTCCCCGGGGGAGCGGAGGGGGCAGGGCCGGCTCCTGGGGTGGGGAAGGCCCAGGAGGTGCTGACACCCCTTGTTCCCGCATGGCACCAGACACCCTATTTCTGGACCAGCACCCTGTGGCCGGCGGCCGAGCTTGACTACGGTGAGAGGGAGCGGGGGCGACCGGGCAGCTCCCGGGCGAGGCCTCGGGGTGATGCCGGGGAGGGCGGGCAGCGGGCTCCTCAGCAGCCTCTCCCTGTCCTTCCAGCCATCTACCTGGCCAAGAAGAACATCCTGCAGCAGGGCGCCCTGGGCGGCCACGAGAAGGTGGGCCCCACCCGCTGAGTCCCGCCAGGGGAGCCGAGCCCCACTCTGTCCCCGGGCCCCCCGTTTGGCCAGAGCACACAGCCCGGGCCGGGACAATGCGGGCGCACAGGGGGAGGGGGGAGGGGGGAGGGGGGAGGGCCCGCCCGGAGCTTCGCCCGGAAGGGGCTTAGCCACTGGGCACCTGAACGCCCCCCAGGAGCACTATGACCAGCTGCACCGGAGGATCAACCACGCGTGGGACCTGGTGGTGATGCAGGCGAGGGAACAGCTGCGGTGAGACCCCCCCCGCCAGCGGGCACAGAGCCCAGATGCCCAGGAGGCCCGAGGCACTCAGCTGGGCACTGGAAACGGGGTCAGGCGGGTTGGCTGCCTGCCCGGGCCCTGGCCGGAGGGGGCGCCTGTCCCCCCACTCTGCCTGTCCCTCCACAGGGCCGCTAAGCAGCGCAGGAAGGGGGACAGGCTGGTCATTGCGTGCCAGGAGCAGACGTACTGGCTGGTGAACAGGCCGCCGGTGAGCCCTGTGCGGGGTGGGCTGGCCCTCGGACACAGCGGGTCCCCGGAGTCAGTGTGTGCCCCCAATGGCGCCCTGGGTGGAGGAGGGCCTATGGGAGCACGAGGCCAGGACGGGGCTGCCCCCTCACAGACCAGACACACGACGCTTCTCTGTGGGCCTGAGGGAGGGGCTGGGAAGCGGTGGGGGGAGGAGCGGGGGGGGGGCTTCGCTGCAGCTCCGGGGGTGCCGGTCAGGAGTGCGGCCTGGCCCGGACCCATCCCGGCAGGCGGTGTGAGGGGGGTGGGGAGATGATGGGTCCGTGTGGCAGTCACAGCAAAGCGTGAACCGGAGCTCCTGTGGGAAAAACACAAGGAGAGAGGCTCTGGGGGCACCCACAGGCCCGATGACCTCCCCAAGTGTGTTTGGGGGAATCTCTGGGTGCAGTCTTCCATCTGAGGGGTGGTTTTAGCTCAGACTGTGTGCATGAGCTGAGGCCGGGCCCAGGATGGCCCCGGCCAGCGGTGTGGGTGAATGGTGTGTGGAGGGGCCGGGCCAGCGGGGTGGTGAGTGGTTAGTGGAGGGCGGGGCCAGCGGTGTGGTGAGTGGGGTGTGGAGGGCGGGGCCAGCGGGGTGGTGAGTGGTGTGTGGAGGGCGGGGCCAGCGGTGTGGTGAGTGGTTAGTGGAGGGGCCAGCGGGGTGGTGAGTGGTTAGTGGAGGGGCCAGCGGTGTGGTGAGTGGTTAGTGGAGGGCGGGGCCAGCGGGGTGGGTGAGTGGTTAGTGGAGGGGCCAGCGGGGTGGTGAGTGGTTAGTGGAGGGCGGGGCCAGCGGGGTGGTGAGTGGTTAGTGGAGGGCGGGGCCAGCGGTGTGGTGAGTGGGGTGTGGAGGGCGGGGCCAGCGGGGTGGTGAGTGGTTAGTGGAGGGGCCAGCGGGGTGGTGAGTGGTTAGTGGAGGGGCCAGCGGGGTGGTGAGTGGTTAGTGGAGGGCGGGGCCAGCGGTGTGGTGAGTGGTGTGTGGAGGGCGGGGCCAGCGGGGTGGTGAGTGGTGTGTGGAGGGCGGGGCCAGCGGTGTGGTGAGTGGTTAGTGGAGGGGCCAGCGGTGTGGTGAGTGGTTAGTGGAGGGCGGGGCCAGCGGTGTGGGTGAGTGGTTAGTGGAGGGGCCAGCGGGGTGGTGAGTGGTTAGTGGAGGGGCCAGCGGGGTGGTGAGTGGTTAGTGGAGGGGCCAGCGGGGTGGTGAGTGGTTAGTGGAGGGCGGGGCCAGCGGGGTGGGTGAGTGGTTAGTGGAGGGCGGGGCCAGCGGGGTGGTGAGTGGTTAGTGGAGGGCGGGGCCAGCGGTGTGGTGAGTGGTTAGTGGAGGGGCCAGCGGGGTGGTGAGTGGTTAGTGGAGGGGCCAGCGGGGTGGTGAGTGGTTAGTGGAGGGGCCAGCGGTGTGGTGAGTGGTTAGTGGAGGGGCCAGCGGGGTGGTGAGTGGTTAGTGGAGGGGCCAGCGGGGTGGTGAGTGGTTAGTGGAGGGGCCAGCGGTGTGGTGAGTGGTTAGTGGAGGGCGGGGCCAGCGGGGTGGGTGAGTGGTTAGTGGAGGGCGGGGCCAGCGGGGTGGTGAGTGGTTAGTGGAGGGCGGGGCCAGCGGGGTGGGTGAGTGGTTAGTGGAGGGCGGGGCCAGCGGGGTGGTGAGTGGTTAGTGGAGGGGCCAGCGGTGTGGTGAGTGGTTAGTGGAGGGCGGGGCCAGCGGGGTGGTGAGTGGTTAGTGGAGGGCGGGGCCAGCGGGGTGGTGAGTGGTTAGTGGAGGGCGGGGCCAGCGGGGTGGTGAGTGGTTAGTGGAGGGCGGGGCCAGCGGTGTGGTGAGTGGTTAGTGGAGGGGCCAGCGGGGTGGTGAGTGGTTAGTGGAGGGGCCAGCGGGGTGGTGAGTGGTTAGTGGAGGGCGGGGCCAGCGGGGTGGTGAGTGGTTAGTGGAGGGCCGGGCCAGCCGTGTGGTGAGTGGTGTGTGGAGGGCGGGGCCAGCGGGGTGGTGAGTGGGGTGTGGAGGGCGGGGCCAGCGGGGTGGTGAGTGGGGTGTGGAGGGCGGGGCCAGCGGGGTGGTGAGTGGGGTGTGGAGGGCGGGGCCAGCGGGGTGGTGAGTGGGGTGTGGAGGGCCGGGCCAGCGGTGTGGGACCAGTGGGTTTGGTGAGTGGAGCTGCCTCAGGTGCTGAGTCTCTGGCCTGAGCGGTCAGGTGAGGAAGGTGAGCCTGACTGAGAAGGGGAAGAATGGGGAGGTTGGGGAGAAAGTCAGGATTTCGCTGTGGTGGCACAGCCAGGCTGGGTGACACAGGGCCGTGGAACGCAGGAGCCATGCGCTGGGGGAGGGGCTGGGAGAAGCCCGGAGTGGCTGAGAGGGTGGTCATTGGGGTGGGAATGGGCAGAGGGGAGACTCGGGTTTCTGGTTCCTCTGAGTGTCAGTTTCTATGTCGAAGGGTAACATGTGGGCTCAGAGCTTCAATTAATGGGGGTGAGTAGGTGCAGGAACATAGCTCTAGGGTGGGGTCTTAGCAGCCCATCTGAGCTGTGCTCCCTGCCCATCTACCCTCCCCTCTGCAGCCTGGGGTCCCCGATGTGCTGGAGCAGGGTCCAGGGCGGGGCTCCTGCATTGCCCGGCGAGTGCAGATGGTAAGACCCCTGCAGGCATGCACACCCCACCCCACCCATCCCCCATGCCTACACACATGCCCCCCACTCCCCACCCCGCACCCAGGCCTCCTGCCACCCCCAATACCCCCATGCACACCCCCTCCCACTCCCCTCCACCACTCTGGGACCACTTGGGGCCTTCCCCCCATCTGTGTGTTCATCTGTCCCACTTCATGTTCCCTGTCCCACTCCTGGTCTCTCTCTCCCCTCACCCTAGCCCCCCCTGCTAACTTTTGTCCTCTCTCACTTCCCACCTGCTGCTCTGGGTGCAAGTAAGTGCGATGGGCCCTGGGGAGGGCGGGAGGCTCTCCCAGGCCAGACCAGCCCCCTCTCCAAGGCCTCTGCTGGCCTCGGGAACCAGCTGCAGCGGGACAGGCCTGGCCAAACTGTGTAGCAGCAGAGCCCCTGTTCAAACCCTAGGAAACCCCGAACAGAAGATACATTCAGCACCTTAATGAGAAAGCTTCTTCCTCAGCTCAAAGCCATGAGCTCATGATCCTAGGTTTCTAACTTCCCACTTTAAGGTCAGTCCAGGAGGGCTGACACTGAACGTGGAGGTGCCTTGTGCCTCTGCTCGCTGACCAGTGAGGGGTGCGCAGTGTCTCAAGGGCCAGCCAGTCCCATGGCCACGCCCCTCCCCCTGGCCCACGGGGAGGTGGCAGGCGGGTTCCAAATTCGGAACACGGTGAGTCTGCAGCACAGTCAACAGCCGGGTTCCTAGTGAGACTCATCATAGGCCGTTTTTATTTTTTATTTATTTATTTATTTTTAATATATTTTATTGATTTTACACAGAGAGGAATTGAGAGGGACAGAGAGTTAGAAACATCGATGAGAGAGAAACATCGACCAGCTGCCTCTTGCACACCCCCAAATGGGGATGTGCCTGCAACCAAGGTACATGCCCTTGACCAGAATCGAACCTGGGACCTTTCAGTCCGCAGGCTGACGCTCTATCCACTGAGCCAAACCGGTCCTGGCCATAGGTCGTTTTTTAAAAAGTAATTTAGGCACATAATTAGTGATAGTGATAATTGGGGCACCTCAAGGCAACTTTGAGAACATTCTGGAAACCTCCAACCCATAGCTCCCTGAAAGCTTCCTGCATAGTCAGACCCTGCCCTCAGAGGAGGGCGAGAGCTGGCCTGGGCCACGGTGGGTGTTGGTCCCCGGGGGCCTGTCTTCTAACTGTAGCTTCCCCTGGCCCTTCCAGACCAAGAACACGGATTTCTACAAGCGGGAGGTAGGTCCTGGGGCTGGAACCGGGGCCTGGGCTGGCCCACCGCCCTGGCCCTGCTCACAGTTCCCTGTCGTAGATTGAGTGCTGCACCAAGGCCCTGGGCAGGATCCGGGTGAAGTCCTCTGTCTGCCTGGAGGCGTGAGTGGGATGGGGGTGGCAGCTGGAGACCCCAAGCCCAGAGCCCAGACCCTTTCTCTAGTCCCCTTTACCCACAATACCCCTCCTCCCTGCGTGGCCCCTGGCACCATCCCCACCCCCAGGTATCTGAAGTTCAGCAGTCAGCACGGCCCACATGACCCCATCATGTCGGGGTGCCTGCCCAGCAACCCCTGGATCACAGATGATGACACCTACTGGGCCATGAACGCCCCCAAGTGAGCTGAGGGTGGGAGAGGGGGTCTGAGGTGTTCTTCCCACCTGTCCCACCCACCCCACAGCCCTCCTGCTCCTGACACACTCACCCTCCCCTAGTGTGGCTGTTCCCACAAAGCTGCGTGTGGAGCGATGGGGCTTCAGCTTCCGGGAGCTCCTGGAAGACCCTGTGGGCCGGGCCCATTTCATGGACTTTCTCGGGAAAGAGTTCAGCGGTGAGAAACCCACACCTCCTATTTGAGGCCCCAGCGAGGGAGGTTTTTGCCTGGGACTCCCCGCCCTCCCCCCAGGTTTCAATCAGCCCTGGCTGCGGCTCAGGGTGGGACCCCCCCCCCCAGCCGAGAACCTCAGCTTCTGATGCTTGGACCCCCCCCCCCAGCCGAGAACCTCAGCTTCTGGGAGGCATGTGAGGAGCTGCGCCATGGAGGGCAGGCCCAGATCCCCGCCCTGGTGGACTCCGTGTACCAGTGAGTGCGAGAGGTGGGCCTGGCGGGCCGGAGGGCAGGCCTGTGGAGCCTGGATCCACGGGAGCTGTCCCCCTTCCCCATTGCACAGGCAGTTCTTGGCCCCTGGCGCTGCCCGCTGGGTCAATATCGACAGCCGGACGATGGAGCGGACCCTGGAGGGCTTGCGCCAGCCCCACCGCTATGTGCTGGATGATGCCCAGCTGCACATCTACATGCTGATGAAGAAGGTGAGCACTTCCTCCCGGGAGGGGCTGTACAGCCGTGTCCACACTTCCTGCGTGAAGGTAGTCCAGGAAGCTCCTCTACAGGACGGGGACCACCTCCTGCCTTCCAGCTGGGCTGCGGATGCCAGCCGCACACCCAGGACACACGGGTTGCTCAGTGTCCTCAAACAGCCAGTCAGGGCCGCGCCTGCCTGCCCACCTGGCCTCATAGGTTAGTTTCCTGTTGCTGCTGTAGAAAATGCCACACACTTGGTGGCTTAGATGAACACACAGTTATCCCTCAGAGACTGAGACGGAGGTCTCTGAGCTAAAGCCAAGGTGTCTGCGAGGCTGGTTCCTTCTGGAGACTTCAGGGGAGAGTCCGTTTCACTAACGTTCACTCCCATCCCTGGCTCATGGCCTGGCCTCCACCTTCAAAGACAGCAGCATTATCGTCTTTTTTTCTTAATTAAGAAAAAAATATCGCCAAAACCGGTTTGGCTCGGCGGTAGAGCGTCGGTCTGCGGACTGAGAGGTCCCGGGTTCGATTCCGGTCAGGGGCATGTGCCTTGGTTGCGGGCACATCCCCGGTAGGGGGTGTGCAAGAGGCAACTGGTCGATGTTTCTCTCTCATCGACATTTCTGGCTATCTCTCTCCTTTCCTCTCTGTAAAAAAAATCAATAAAATATATTTAAAAAATAAAATAAAAAAATATCTAATTGAGAGAGAAACATCAATCCATTGCTCCACCCATCCAGGCATTCATTGGTTGCTTCCTGTGTGTGCTCTCCTGATGGGAGAACAAACCAGTCCGCACGCAACCTTGGCACTTTGGGGCGATGCTCCAACCAACTGCACCACCGGCCTGGGCTTTTCCTTTTTCCTTTTCTTTTTTTTTTAAATTAAAATTTATTTTTCAATTATAGTTGAGATACAATCTAATATATTAGTTTCAGGTATAGCAGCAGTGTGTCACCTTTAAATCTCTCTCTCTCTCTCTCTCTCTCTCTCTCTCTCCTCTCTCTCTCTCTCTTTCTCTCTCTCTCTCTCTCTCTCTCTCTCTCTCTCTCTCTCTCTGATCCCCCTACTTCCCTTTCACTTCTAAGGATGCCTGTGCTTACACTGAACCCGCACGGATAATCCAGGCAGTCTCCCATCCCAACACCATCACTTTAGTCACACTGCAGGTCCCTTTGGCACACGAGGGGACATATTCACAGGGCCTAGGATTAGGGTGTCGACACCTCTGGGCAGCTTTAGTCTGTACACCACAACCTATAACTATCTATCTAATTTTTTTTTTTTTTCAATTTGCTTGACTTTGGATCCAAACAGGTTCCATACATTGGTGAATGTCTCTTAAATCTCTTTACGGCTTGTAAAAATTTTTTGTTGTTTGGAAGGAACTGGGTCCTTTGTTCTGTAGTTTCCCACAGTCTGGGTTTTGCTGAGTCCCTGTATTATCTTTTATGTGTTTCTCTGCCCCAAAATTGGTAGTTGCTAAAAATTGGTAGTTACCGTTTAGCTCTTGATCGGAAGTCATTTTCAGTTTTGTTGCCTATTTGTTCAGTGTTGTCAAGAATATTTTCTTCAGTTTGGTGTGTTCTTCCATCAGGAGGTACATGAGATTGGCTGCCTCCACTGACAGTCATTGCCCAGACTCGTGATTTCATCAGCAAAGTTCTGATCCCATCAACGCCTCTGTTTATGAGCCGAAGCCTCCCCTCCCTGCTCTCTGCTGGCCAGTGGTTCTCTTATAGGAAAGGCAGATCAATGCTTGATTCCTTCTTTTTTTTTAAATATATTTTATTGATTTTGTACAGAGAGGAAGGGAGAGAGATAGCAAGTTAGAAACATCGACGAGAGTCATCGATCAGCTGCCTCTTGCACACCCCCTACTGGAGATGTGCCCGCAACCAAGGTACATGCCATTGACCGGAATCGAACCCGGGACCCTTCAGTCCCCAAGCCAACGCTCTATCCATTGAGCCAAACCGGTTTCGGCTGATTCCTTCTTTTGTTACTGTTATTAATCCTCACCCAAGGATATTTTTCCATTGATTTTTTATAGTGGGAGGGGGAGAGAAAGAGAACCAGACGTGAGAGAGACACACTGATTGGTTGCCTCCCACACGTGCCCTGACCAGGGCTGGGGATTGAGCCTGAAACCCAGGTGCACACCCAGAACCCTTCAGTCCAAGGGCCAACGCTCTGTCCACGGAGCCAATCCGGCTAGGGCTGATGTCTTCTTTTATCACCACGTATCAAAGCAATGCGTCTGCCCCGATATCCGCCGAGGGAGGTCATGAGGCGTCCGTGTTTTTAATACCATCACAAACTCATATTTCTCACTGGATTTAATGGGTTTAAATCCAGCTCAGTCTTATTTTCTTTTTATGTTTTTATTGATTTCAGAGAGAGAGAGAGAGAGAGAGAGAGAGAGAGAGAGAGAGAGAGATCAATGAGAAAGAATTATTGACTGGCTGCCTCCTACACTCCCCCAACAGGGGATAGAGTCCACTATCTGGGCACATGCCCCTGACCGGAATCAAACCTGGGACCCTTCAGTCCACAGTCCGACGCTCTATCCAAACCAGCTGGGGTCCATGACAGTTCTTACGTGGTATTCAGAGGTCTCTGATGTGTCCTGTGGTGTATGGTGACTTCCTTGCTTCCTGGTGTGACACTGTCCAGGTTCATCCTGCCCCAGACCTAGCCATTTCCCAGGTTGGTGTTTAGAAACCTTGACCTACACACCAGATGTGTTTGTGCCCCTGGGGTGGCCATCACTTCCCAGCCTTTCAGTGGACAGAATTAGGAAGCGTGTGCTTTAAGAAGAACATATTGGAACCATACTGACACTGTGCTTCAGCTTCAGGATTAGACGTTCTCTTCCTCCCTGATCTTCTCTCTCTTTTCACTCCCACTGAAAATATTGGTTTCCAACAAGGCTATCATAATTACTCATTTGCTTTCTCACAATCCCCTCAGTAGTCTGAACGGAACGGCACACAGCACCATTCACCACACACTCGCTGGAAATGGCTTTCGTTCTTCCTCTTCGGTCCCTGTATGTGTCCTCTTCGGGATGTCCTCTTGACCGGCTGTCATTGTGTGTGGTTAGGATGGTGTCACCCCTGGATATCCAGCCCCAATTATGACCCTTTACTTCCAATGTTTGGGGAATGCTTACTTGTTTTACAATTATGTGAAATATCTACTTTCAAAACCCAATCTGTAAAGCAGGATAAATTCAAATAAATTTAGCTTTTATTGCTGCCCCCTACCTTTTCCCCTCTTTCCCAAGATAAGTTTATATTCATCTTTTTAAAATATAACCAATTAGGCCCTAACTGGTTTGGCTCAGTGGATAGAGTGTCAGCCTGCAGGCTGAAGGGTCCCAGGTTCGATTCCGGTCAAGAGCATGTACCTTGGTTGCAGGCACATCCCCAGTGGGTGGTTTGCAGGAGGCAGCTGATCCATGTTTCTCTCTCATCGATGTTTCTAACTCTCTCTCCCCCTTCCTCTCTGTAAAAAAAAAAAAAAAAAAAGTATTAAATATATATATATAATGAATTTGATTCATAGATCTCACACACTAATAGTCTACTGTACAGTTCCTCTTGCCCTTGTTAGCTGGCTCTGTGCCCTTGCCCCTCTACGGGGCAGACAGCTGCTCTGCATTCCCTTGCAGGAGGCACCGGGTTCCCTCCTCCAGGTGTGGGTGCCGGGCTCTTGCTCATCTTCGGCTGCTACATGGCCCCCCTGAAAGGGAGCCCAGGTCCCTCTGAGTCAGCTGACCCGGTCAGGGCCGGTCTTGGGTGGCCGCCCCCAGCAGTGTCCCCTGGGAGCTCCGAGGTCAGAGCAGAGGGAGGGGGCGGCCGGCGGCAGGGCTGACAACCGTTTCTTATAGGACTCCTACCCCCGGTTCCTCAAGTCGGACATGTACAGAGGCTTGCTGGCGGAGGCCATGACACTCCCGGAGACCAAGAGACGGTGAGCCCGGTGGTGCCCTGTGCCAGGAGCTGAGAGGCGGGACTCTTGAGGCCGCCCTGCACTGAGGCCCCTTCTCGCCCACAGAGTGTTCCCGTTCATGTGGAAGCCGCGGCTTTCGAGCCCAAGCCCTGCTCTTCCTCCTGCTTCTGCTTCCGTGGGACCGGCAGCTGCTGCCGGCGGCCCTGGGGCTGGTGATGGAGAGGCGTAGGTGGGCCTGGGCCTGCAGGAGGAGGCTCCGCCCCTCGCCTCTCATCACCCTCTTCTCACCCAGGGTCCTGGCAGCTGCCGAGACCCCCAGCACGGGCATCCCTAGTGCACCGAGGGCGTGGCCTTGCTGTGGGGCACACAAGTCAGGCTGCCCAGAAGGGATTGGTCCAGGTGCTGACTGCCAGGGAGGGGGTGTCACTGGCCGAGCTTGGGTCACCTGGGGAAAGGTGGGACGAGATGGGCAAACCAGACCAAGGCCACGCTCCTGGCACGTCGCCGTCTTCAGCTCCGGGAGCCCAGCCCCACCTCCAGACCGTTACATTAGCAGCCGGTACCCGGGAGCCAGAGGCAGACAGCAGGGGCACTTGTCCCGTGGTGAGGACACGCAGGCCTCGAAGCTAAGTCACCCGCTCCACTCCGCTCAGTGGGCCCCTGGGGACTCAGCCCCCGGAATGTCGCTGGGCTGGCTCAGCCTTCCAGTGGGTACCGAGCTGCCGCCACAGGGACAGCCTGTCACTGCCGCTGTGTCCCGGGCCTGTCCTGAAGGTGCACCTCCGTTTGTGAAGGAACGCCACTCCTTTGGGGGTACAGCGCTGACGGGCTCAGCTGAGGCAGCGCCCCGCCTCACAAAGCTAGCCTGCTCCTGCCCATTCCTGGCACAGAGATAGAAGACCCTGAGCCCAGGTAGCTAGTTGGTTAGTGTTCTGATACCCCAAGGTTGCAGGTTCAATACCTGGTCAGGGACATAGAAGAATGAACTAATGAATACATAGTAAGTGGAACAACAAACTGATGTTTCTCTCTCTAAAATCAATAAAGAAAAAAGAAAGGAAGGCCTTCGGCCCTCTCTCTGTGCTCACCTGCGGTGGTCCAAATCGTGGTTTGTGTGTATGCACCTGCTGTGTGTGTGCATGAAGCACGCAGCGGTGAAAGACAATGTGGGCAGTTCAGGAGTCATGGAAGGTCAGTGTGTGTCCACAGGAGAGGAGACAGCCCCAGGCTGAACGCAGGCTGCACACTGGCGGTGCTTGGTCTTTGCTCTGAGGGACGAGGATGCCGGGCTCCGGGGCGAGTGCAGACACAGTCCAGACTCCTGGGACGGAACCCGTGTCCTAGGCAGGCTGTGCCCTAAGGCTGGGGAGTTCCAGGGAGCGCGGCAGGAACCCATGGCCAGCTGCTTTGCTTACAAGCCCGGGTGCGGGAGGCCCACTGATGAGGGCACCCCCTGGGCTCGGCCCCCTAACCCCTGCTCACTGTCCTAGGACCCAAACTGGGAGGTCCCTCCTGAGCCAGCTCCTCTGTCCAGGGCTGTGGACACCAACCTGGACCCCCAGATGCCTTGGCCTCCAGCCCCCAGCCCTACTGGCTCCAGGTGATTTTCACTTGCAGACCTGTCACTTTCCCAGGAACAGTTTTTTTGGGGGTGGAAGATTTTAGGGTTATAGGAAGTTTTTTGTATTTAAATGTCCACAGGAAATTCCATCAGGATTCTCTAAACGTCTCCCTCATTAGTTTGGTACCCAAAGCTGCATCTCACTGAAGCGTCCCCCCTGGGCCCTCCTGGGCAGCTGCCAGGCCCGCCTCCACCCCCTCCCTGGCCAGCCCTTGGAAGACTGGGGTGCCAGGGGCCCGGGCGGAGCACACGCATGTCCGTGGGGGGCTCCTGGCTTGCTGGGGGGCCTAGGGAGGGTCCTCAAACCGGAGGTGCACGTGGAGGCTGAGCTGAACAAGACCTCGGGGCCCCTCAGTTTCTGACCTGGCAGGAGTGGGGGGCATTCCGAGAACACAGGTCCCTCAGCCCTCAGCCACTTTCCCGTCCTGACCCATTTCACCCCCACAGCACAGACAGGAGGCGCACAGTGCCCGCTGGGCTTTCTCCGGAGTGCGAACGTTTATTCCGGTTCCTCCCGCGCTCCCAGGGTGGGCAGGCCGCGTGGTGCCTGGGCCTCGGGGCTGCACGGGGCGGGGCGGGATGGCCCCGGGCGCAGCAAGGCACAGAGGTGAGTCCTGCATCCGGGACCCCGAGGCCTGGGACGACCCAGCACCAGGAAGGAGGGGAGCGACGCCTAAGAGTGCAGGGACTCCAGAGGGACAAGGGCTCCAGTGTGTATCAATCAAGAGGGTGCAACATGACCCCAGTGTGCGTTAAGGCAGGTTTGGGAAGGTCACACAGCACAAGCAGCGGCAGGCACAGGCTGTGAACTCCCCTCAGCACTGCCCCCACCCTGCCCTGCAAGCCCACTCCTCCTGAGCCGGTCAACGGGACTCCGCTCCCAGGCAAGACACCATCAACCGCTCCCAGGCAAGACACCATCAACCGTGCCGGACTCTCCCCTCCCTGCTCTGGGAAGGGCCGGGGGCTGCCCGGCTGCCCTGAGACCACCCCGGGGAACACCCCGCTCTGAGCTCCAGGTTCCCGGGGGCACAGTGCAGAGGAGGAAGAGCTCAGGTGGGAGGTGGGGAGGGCACTTCTGCAGGTCGGGCCTGGGCTCTTCCCGGACGGAGGCCGCCGTGGAGGCAGCTGGCCTTTGGCACGTGGCCCCCGCGGGCGGAGGACGACCTGTGTGAGGACACGGCGTGCTGGGCAGGACGGAGGCCTGGGGGTCCCACCCCCACCGTGTCCCTGGGACTAAGGAGACCCTGCGGAGTGCTGCCAGGCTCAGGAGTGGGAGTCAGTGTACAGAGCGAATGAACGAGGGGCCAACTTCCCAGGACGTTTAATGGCAGCAGCCGAGGCCCTCGTGCTCGGACCGCCGTGCAGCTAGGCCTCGCTCAGGTACCGCAGGCGGGAGAGCCGGTCCCTGATGTCCTGGTCGCTGTCAGCCCCGCCTTCGGCCAGGCGGACCACCCTGCTGCTCAGGATGAGGTCCTGCACCTTGTGCTTGGCCATGGAGACCAGGCCGGGCGCGGCCGGGCTGGCCGGGCCCGTGAGGAGGATGCAGGCGGCGTGGCGGCCTGGCTCCAGCAGGGCCACTGTGGAGGACAGAGCGTCAGGGTCTCGGGACCGGACAGTGTGAGTGGGTGGTGCTCAGGTCCACACTGAGGCTGCACTCACCTTGGAAGGTGACGATGTTGGCAGAGACGTTGGCCAGCTCCAGCAGGACGCCGGGCAGTGTGGGGTGAAACAGGTAGAGGCTGTGCTGGGTGTCTCCCGCCTCCTGGAATGAGAACCAGCGATGGGGCAGGAGGTGATCGGGCTGCAGCCACCTCTGCACCTGGGCCTGGCAGCGGGGCAGTGCCGTGCTCATCGCTGATGGGACACTCGACCCACTGACCACAGCCAGAGCTGTGTCCCTTTGGGTCCTCCAAACGCCAACCTGAACTCTGCACCTACCTGCTCTACCCCTCTTCCCCAACCTGACCCTGATCCTCCTCAGCACCCTCCACCCGGAACACGGCCCCTTCCCAGCACACTCTGCTTCTTTCCAGCTTCCCCATGTCCGCCCCCGCGGCAGACACGCCCGGACCACCCTGGGCCAGAGCACTGCCTCACCCCACCTCTCTCCCTCGGCTTCTATTTATTTGTACACGTCCAGTCACCAATTAGCTCCTTAAGAGGGGGCCTAAGACTGGCTCTGGCCCCTGGCCCTGGCTTCTGGCACGGGCGTGTCCCCTGATGAAGAACTCTGCCCGTACCATCTGGTTGGCACCGGCCAGCTCGTGCAGGCCCCAGAAGAAGAAGGCTGAGCGGTGGTCTGCGGTCAGCAGGCTGGCAGACGGAGGGAACCCTGGGAGGCCTGGAAGGGCCAGAGTCCAAAGGACCGCCCCGGTGTTGAGGTCCAGGAGCCGGATCTGGGAGGAAGGGGACAGCATGGGGCAGATGGGGTGGGGTTCGCACACGCACGTGGGCCAGCCCTGAGCCAGCTGCTCCCTGGGCTCCACGAGACCGTCTCCCTGAGGCCCCTCTTATCCCCCAGCCCAGCCTCCGGGCCACAGCCCCGTTCAGACACATCCTGACTCGTTTTCCTCAGCGACAAACCGAGGCGGGACACAAAAGGAAGGGCAGCCAACCTGCCTGTCAATGCCGGTTCCGTTCTCAATGGCCACGGCTAAGGTGTCGGGTTTGTAGTGGCCGAGGATAGGTTTCCTAGGGAAGAAGTCACGAGGGGTCTCTGTGAGGAGACGCCTGGGGCAGGTTTGCCACCTCTTCTCCCTGGCGAGGCAGGCCCAGGGCCGGACGCAGAGGGGCTTCCCCAGCCCCCCCACGAAGGGAAGTGCCGGGGACAGCAGGCCGCCTCTGGCAGAGGCACACGGGTCCCCTCGCCCACCTCCGCGGGGCTGCCAGGGGGGTGGGCTGGCGGGGCCCGGCTTGCAACAACTGCACAGGCCCCCGGGGGAGAGCGGTACCTGGGGACCTGGGGCGCGCTGAAGGTCCACCTGGGTGCCAGCTCCTGGCCGCCCAGCAGCACGCAGGCGTCCGAACTCACGAGGAGGAGGTCCTCGCCGCCCTTCCCGGGGACGTTCATCAGGTAGTGGATGGCTCCAGAGCTGGAGGAGGGGGCAGCTGGGACTGAGGCTGGAGGCGGGGTCCCTCGCCAGAGCACTGGCCACCAGACTCCCACATGCAGCGCCCTAATCCTTAGGTCTCCGGTTTGAGAAATAAAACCAGACCTCACTGTGCTTGGAGAGAGAGAGGGAGCCCGCTGCTGGGAACCTTTTCCCTGGTTTGCACGTAGCCTGTCTGTCCAACTCCCGTGCCTGAGCCCAGCATGGCCCTGCAGTACAGCAGCCCGGCCCGCAGCCCCTCCACGGCTCCGCGCGCAGGACCGGGACCTGGCCTGCGCGACGCCGCCCACACCGACCTGTGCGCGAGCAGCCCGTGGTTGGTGGCGTTGAGCACGTCCTCCCAGCTGGGGTCTCTGCTCAGCGGGCTGTCTCTCCCGGTCACTTTTTCGTAGAGGCCCTTCACAGAGTGCCCACAGAGGGAACTTGCTACTCAAAACAGAAGAGCCTCAAGTCACCAGGGGCTGCTGGGGGGAACCCGCGGGGCACCCCCGGCCGGGGAGGGGAGAGACCCTCCGAGGCTTTCACGGCGTGTCAGTGATCACTTCGAAGCCTAGGAGAAAGCAGGAGCCGAGGAGCCTCCCGGCAGCTCAGATCTCATCTGAGACCAGCCAGGCCTCGCCTGTGAGGCCGTTCGGGGGCCCAGCAGACACAACGTACCGCAGGGGAGCAGGATGTAGTGGGCGCCCGCCCTGGTGGCATAAAGGAGGGAGCCACTGGTCCCACCCACACCGAGGCTCTCTTGGTGGCCAATCTGGTGCCCAGTGCTTCCCGAATAGATGTAGCCGTTAACCTGCAACACATGGGAAGAGAAAGGGGTCAAAACCCCCCTGGTTTGGGGAGAGGTTGCTTTAAGTGTCTCATACCAGGCGTGTGTGCGTGATCTCCCACACCAGAGTCCTTCAGGCTCCTCAGGACCCACCCACACCTCAGTGGCACTAACGGAGAGGGCACTCCTGTTCTTGGGGAGGCCCAAGAGCTACGGACAGGCACAGAGCTGCCCCAGTGGGCTGGGTCTGCAGGTGCCAGGGCACAGGGCCTTGGGCAAGTCCCCTGACAGGTGATCAGACCCAAAATCTGCCGGGAAACGGAAGACCAGGGAGCAGGAAAGAGGCTCCGGAGGCACGGGCTCGGGGGGAGAGCTGTACCTCCTTGTCCTCTTGGGTGAGAACCAGCAGATCTGGGGCCCCGTCGGCATCGAGGTCAGGCACCTGGAGTAAAGGGCTTAGGATGGTCGCGTTCCTTCTGAAGGTGCTGGGATGGTTCCACAGGGTCTCCCCTAAAAGCAAGCACACATCAGCGGGCGCTGGCCCCAGGGCCCCTTCCACCACAGCCTGGCAAATACACAGACCCTGGGCAGGTGCAGGTGAGCACGGCTGTTGCACACACTGAAGCGGACATGTGCGAAGACCAGGGGCTCGCACACCAGTGCTCAAGCCTCACTGCTGGGAGCTGCGGAACTCCCTACCCCATCTAGCTATATAATTTTTATTGTTGATCCATCTAGCTATATAAATTTTTTACATGTCTTTGTTGAATTCAGAAAGGAAGGGAAAGGGAGAGAGAATCACTGATCACCTGCCTCCTGCACAACCCCCACTGGGGATCAAGCACGCAACCCGGGAATTGAACGTGGGACCTTTCAGTCTGCAGGCTGATGCTCTATCCACTGAGCAAAACCAGCTAGGGCCCATCTATCTATCTATCTATCTATCTATCTATCTATCTATCTATCTAAAAGGCTAATATGCTAAGTGTCTGACTGCCTGGGTAATGACATCATGAAGCAACCCCTGGCTTCCTCTCCCTAGTGGTGACTAGCCTCCTTGCAGTTTCTTCAGCCCAAGAACACACTTGCTTTATAGCCAGGTGCAAACATTTCACACTTTAGCCAAATGCCTGTATAGCATTTTCTCATGCCTCATTTCATTTGATCCTCACAGAAGTCCTGGAGTAGGTAGATAGGAGACTCTGTGGAATCCTATTTTCTTTCATTATCCAGAAAATGGAGATTTTTTATTTTTATTTTTTTAAAATATATTTTATTGATTTTACACAGAGAGGAATTGAGAGGGACAGAGTTAGAAATGTCGATGAGAGCCGAGACCGGTTTGGTTCAATGGATAGAGCGTCGGCTTGGGGACTGAAGGGTCCCGGGTTCGATTCCGGTCAAGGGCATGTACCTTGGTTGCGGGCATATCCCCAGTAGGGGGTGTGCAAGAAGCAGCTGATCGATGACTCTCTCTCATCGATGTTTCTAACTCTCTATCTCTCTCCCTTCCTCTCAGTACAAAATCAATAAAATATATAAAAAGAAAAAAAAAAGAAAAAAGAAAAAGAAGTGTCGATGTGAAAGAAACATCGACCAGCTGCCTCTTGCACACCCCCCACTGGGGATGTGCCTGCAACCAATGTACATGCCCTTGACCAGAATTAAACCCGGGACCTTTCAGTCTGTAGGTCGACGCTCTATCCACTGAGCCAAACCGGTCCCGGCAGAAAATGGAGATTTAGAAAGCTTAGACACTTGACCCGAATGAAAAGAAGTAATAAATGGTGGACCTTGAAAATGACTTCAGGTTTTATCAGTGCACAGAATATAGTCAAACACTGCTGCAGTTAAATATTTTACCCTTTGTTCTCCCTGTGTGATCTACACTAATAATCTGCTTCGTGTTGATATTTACTGCCGTGCTGCTGACAATTACCTGAACGAGAAGTTGGGGTGGTTCACTGGGCTGGAAAAAGTTTAGCTGCCTCAGAAAGCAGGTCTAATTAAGCACATTGTTTTATATCTATAAAAGGCTAAGTTGGCTCTATCTGGTTTGGCTCAGTGGATAGAGCATCGGTCTGCAGACTGAAGGGTCCCAGGTTCGATTCGGGTCAAGGGCATGTACCTTGGTTGCGGGCACATCCCCAGTGGGGGGTGTGCAGGAGGCAGCTGATGGATGTTTCTCTCTCATCGATATTTCTAACTCTCTTTCCCTCTCCCTTCCTCTCTTTAAAAGGTCAATGAAGTATTTTTTAAAAGAAAGGGACTTGCTGAAACTGGTTTGGTTCAGTGGATAGAGCGTTAGCCTGCGGACTGAAAGGTCCTGGGTTCGATTCCAGTCAAGGGCATGTACCTTGGTTGCGGGCACATCCCCAGTAGGGGGTGTACAAGCAGCAGCTGATCGATGATTCTCTCTCATCGATGTTTCTTACTCTTTATCCCTCTCTCTTCCTCTCTGTAAAAAATCAATAAGATATATTTAAAAAAAGAAAAAAAAGAAAGGAACTTGCTCATTAATTGTAAATCAGATCCCAATAATTCGAATGCCACTAAAATGAATCAAATAACCCTAACCTGTTTGGATCAGTGGATAGAGCATCAGCCTGTGGACTGAAAGATCAAGGGCATATACGTTGTTTGCAGGCACATACCAGTAGGAGGTATGTAGGAGGCAGCTGATTGATGTTTCTCTGCCATCGATGTTTCTAACTCTCTATCCCTCTCCTTCCTCTCTGTAAAAAAATCAGTAAAAAATATATATATTTTAAAATGAAACAAATCAGTATCCTGTTTCCTACATTGCAATGACGTATCCTATTCTTTTCCCACATGGTGGGAAAAGCTGGGGAATGGATATTGCATGAAGACTCAGAGATGAGCCTAGCTGGTTTGGCTCAGTGGATAGAGCCATCAACATGCAGACTAAAGGATCCCAGGTTTGATTCAGGTCAAGGACATAGGCTCTTTCCCAGCACAATCCCCAGTGGGGGCTGTGTAGGAGGCAGTTGATCAATGATTCTCTCTTATCATTGATGTTTCTATCTCTCTCTCCCTCTTCCTTCTTCTCTGACATTAATAAAACTATATTAAAAAATAAAAATAAAAACTTGAGTGTACTAATCACTTAAAAAAAAAAAAGACTCAGAGACAACAGTGTAATTGACAATAATACTAGATTCAACAGTTGATGCCAAAAAGGAAAATTTTCCCATCGAATTTCTTACAAGTATTACTCCTTCGGGAATGCCGTGTCATAAATTAGAATTGAAAGTAGGTGTAATCATCATGCTACTGAGAAATCTTAATAGTAAATGGGGTCTTTGTAATGGTACTAGATTTATTCTCAAAAGATTTCAACCTAACATAATCGAAGCTGAAGTATTACCAGGATCTGTGGAGGAGAGGTTGTTCTGATTCCAAGAATTGATTTGTCCCCATCTGACACTGGCCTCAGTGTTAGAATAAATTTAATCAATTTATCAGTCATTGTTTTTATCAATGTTGTTTTTATATCATGTCTTTATTGTTATTATATCATGTTGTTTATTTAATAATCAATTTATATATTACTTTCATATACAATCGCTTCTCGGCCTTTTGGCGAAGATCAAGTGTAGTATATTATTTTCATATACATTTTACTAATTTTCTTTCATCTGACATTTTTATTATAGAGAATGGCAAATAGCAATATTAAAGTATTTCTTCTAATTAATTCCCTTTCAATGTGCACAAATCCGTGCACCGGGCCACTAGTTTTCTAATACTTGGCTCTAGAGCACCTTAGGGTCAACGCTGACCCTCCCCACCTGGATGGACAGGGCCTGACCTCGCCATGTCTCAAGGCCCCTCAGGACCCGTCTGCTGCTGGGCTCATAGGCGGGCCCTCTGCCCCCACCAAGGCCCTGGCTGAGTGGCCTGTGCCTGTGCCCTTTACGCAGAGAGAATGACGGTCTCGGGGTTATGCCTGTGAACTGCAGGTCCCGAGGCAACAGCTTCTGACCAGACATAATCTTGTCCTTTTTTTAATAGAGTGATTCCTCTTTTCCTAAAATACTTCCAACCTGCTCTTTATTTTTCTCCATAGTCTCAAAACCACAAGTTGTAAGGGAAATGTCAGTACCCACCAAATCTAGTGTCAAGGCACAGAATTCCTCAACACCCTGGCAAGCGTGAGTGGCCAATCCCTCGGGGCCTAAACAGTGGGGAACAGGAAGGGCCCAGGGAGCGCCCTCACGTCTAGAGCACCGACAGGCCCAGGTCTCCTTCCCACGCTGCCCGGCCTGTGCTGGCCCCAGGTGCTGCGAAAGCAGGCTGCAGCCCCTTCCTCCCACAACAGGCACAGCCGAGCTCCTCCTCCTCTCTGCCTCCCACAACGTGCTCCCACAGCAAGATGTACGCAGCAGGTGACAAGGCACAAGGCACGTGACATGGCAGAGGCGCTGTGGTGCTGACTGCCAAGTGGCTGTGTCCTCACATGGGGGCTCCCTTCCACTCTGTGACCATCCTCCCATCCAATCACATGCCCGAGAGCACAGGCCGACCCTCCCCAGAGCGTGTAGCACCGTCCTCCGTCTGAGAGGCCCACGTGGAGCGCAGAGGGGACCAGCCTACCTGTGAATAAGTCGACTGCGAGGAAAGAACCACCGGATCTGCCCACAAGGATGCAGGCGGAAGATGCCCCGCTGTCCCTCGGGTGGGGGACATCGCACAGCACGAGAGCCCCGTCCTGGGCTGCGGGCCGCTCCCACAGGATGCTGCCGTTGGCCCCCGACGCAGCAGCCACAAAGGAGCAGGGAGAGGAGAAGCCTGCAGAGCACAGACCAGCCCTGAGGCTGTGCATGCAGGACACAGCGCCCACCCGTCCTCCCTCACACCTGGCTCAGCCCTGCCACCTGGCTCAGCCCTGCCACCTGGCTCGTTCCCTTTATACCTGGGCTCCTAACCTCCCCCCATCCCCTGGGGGCCCCAGTGTTGATCCCGTGGGGGCCAGTAGCCTGAGACTGGCCTTGTCTCGTTCTAGTCCTGCTACAAAGCAAAGACAATGAAATTCCAGAAATTCCACCAACTGCTTTCCCAAATATTGGAGAGCAAGGATTCCTCCTCTCATAGGGAGTTCCCCTTTCTTACCTTCATCAGCGCAGGACTGGCTGACATTGCTGCTGCTGTTGGTGTTTTTATAAAGAAAGAGAACGTCTTGGACCCTGTCCCTGTTTATGTCTTTTGTGGCCAGAAAGTTGTAGGTGACTGCAAAAGAAAACCAGGCGTAAAGGCCAGGCCAGGTCTGCCATGGCCTCTTCTCTGCACCTTAGGGTTTAGTGCCGGTTAGAGCCTGCCACTGTGAGATCACCGCAGGGACTGGCATTCCCACAGCTCTTCAGAGCACAGCAATTCCTCATGCACACGATGGATGGCAGAATCAGAGGTTAGCCTGCAGGAAGGAGCAGACAGGACACCTGGGTGCCACAATGGATGTCTGAGCACCTTCTATTCAGGAATGAATTCCTCCTTACGTCAGTTTGGGATTCAGAGCGATCACACACACTTCCGTAGTCCTAAGGGTCTAACCCTTCCTTTCATTCGAGGGCTCCAAAGATAAACTAGCCCTGGCTGGTGGTTCAGTGGTTAGAGCGTAACCTGTGGACCGAAGTGTTGCGGGTTCAAAACCTGGTCAAGGGCACAAGCCTGGGTTGGAGAGTCAATCCCTGGCCAGGGTCGAGGTGCATGCAGGAGGCAACCATCCATGTGTGTGTCTCTCTCCACCTCCTTTGTTCCTTCCCTTCTACCTCCTCTAAAAACTAATGGGAAAAATATCCTTGGATGAGAATTAACAACAACAACAAAAAAATCCCACACACACAAAAAAACTTTATATTTTAAAACCAATCACCAAAAGAATGGGCCCTTATCCTATAATAAATGGATCAAAGAGCCCGGTGGTGTGGCTCAGTGGACTGAGCGTCCACCCATGAACCAAAAGGTCACAGTTCCGATTCCTGATTGGGTTGCAAACTCAATCCCTAGCTCTTTAGAGCACCAGCGATTCTCATGCACATGATGGGCATGCAGGTGGCGGCTGATCAATGTTTCTCTCTCTCAGGAATGTTTCCACTTCTCTACCCCTCACCCTTCCTCTCTGAAATATATATATATATATATATATATATATATATATATATATATATATGTGTGTGTGTGTGTGTGTGTGTGTGTGTGTACACACATATATATGTATACATATATATGTGTATATATGCATATATATATGTGTGTATATATATGTATATATATATATATGAAGTGGAGTGAGTGTCCAGAGAGAGGCTGATTCAGTTGCTTCTCATAAACTGCCAATTTTTTCTAAGGAAGGCTTTTTTTTGTTTTGTTAATCCTCACCTGAGGATATTTTCCCATTTATTTTTAGAGAGAGTGGAAGGAGGAGGGAGAGAGAGAAAGAGACAGAGAGAGAAAGAGAGAGAGCGCGCGCGCAACATCTGATGTGATACAGACACATCAATAAGTTGCCTCCCACATGGGCTGGCCAGAGCTCACAGCCAAAGTGTGTGCCCTTGACTGGAATAGAACCCGGGACCCTTCAGTCCGCTTAAGTGATGCTCTATCCACTGAGCCAAAGGCTTTTTAAAAATTGTTTTTGTTAATCCTCATTGAGAATATTTTTTCTATTGATTTTTAGAGGGATGCGCAGAGAGGGAAAAAGGGAGAGAGAGAAAGAAAAAAACATCGATGTGAGAGAGACATATTGATTGGTTGCCTCCCATACGTGTCCTGCCCCTGCTGGGGATCAAACCTTCAGCCAGATACGTGCCCTTGACTGGGAATCAAACCCAGGACCCCTTGGTGCCCAGGCCACCGCTCTAGCCACTGAGAAACACCAGCTATGGCCTGACTGCCAGTTTCATGAGACAAATGCAAGTGTGCTTCGCTCAAGCTGATCCAACTAGGATGTCAGCCAGAGCCCTTCAGGAAGACTGGATCACAAAACCAGCTGCATTTCTGCCACATTTCGGAATAGTCTTCTCTACATCTCTTCTGCCAGTTCCTGTTTCATTATTATTTCATTCTGAAAAGTAATCAAACGGGCCCCTTTCCTTTATTGACCCAACCCATCCTTCCTAAAATGGGAGAGCAGGGCGCTTTGCTACCACAGCAATCCTTCCAGTTTCCCCCCAAATTCCAGGAAAACCATGGACACAGCCACTTAGGGTTGACTCACTGTCAAAGGTGACTTCCAGGCTCCAGAACACACATGCTGCCCCCCGCCCCCCCAGGAGAGCATGGCACCGAGGGAGAGGCGCACCTGCTGCGTTGTAATCGATCCTCCACATGCTCTCTAACACCGGCCTCTCTGGACACGGGATGATGAAGGAAATCACAAACACCACCAACAGGCAGGTGAACAGCGAGAGGAACAAGGCCACCGTCCGGCATCTGGAGAGGCGGGACTGCGAGGGCGTGCTTTTCAAGTTACCTCCCTTTTTCAGCTGGTTCCCCAGATTCTCCTGCAGTTTCCCATCTTCGTTCTTCAAGGGGTGGATTTCAGCTTCTAAGTCCTTGCTGTCCATCGCGCACACATCCCACAGGTTACCTTCTGATCACTGTGTCAACAAAGCACGAGGCAGTCAGGAGAGGCAGCGCCTCTGACCCCCAGGCCCCGCTGCTGTCAGGGCTGGGGGTCAGCTGCAATGGTGACTGGGGGCTGCAGCCCAAGAAATAAAAGCTGAGTAAATGTTTAGGGTGTCACAGATTCCATTAAGAAGGTCTTTTTAAACACATATATTTTAAAAATATATATATTTTATTGATATTTTTACAGAGAGGAAGGGAGAGGGATAGAGAGTTAGAAACATCAATGAGAGAGAAACATGGATCAGCTGCCTCCTGCACACCCCTTTCTGGGGATGTGCCCGCAACCAAGGTACATGTCCTTGATTGGAATGGAACCTGGGACCCTTTAGTCCACAGGCCGACGCTCTATCCATTGAGCCAAACTGGTTAGGGCTAAACATATTTTTTAATTGACTTTTAGAGAGAGGAAGGGAAAGGGATAGAAAGATAGAATCATTGATGAGAGAGAGAAAAAAAAAATCACTGATCAGCTGCCTCCTGCATGCCCCCCCACTGGGGACTGAGCCTGCAATCCAGGCATGTGTCCTGACTGGGAATCGAACCGGTGACCTCTTGGTTCCTGGGCTGTCCCTCAACTACTGAGCCACACCGGCCAGGCAAAAAGGTCCTTAATTCAGAAAGGCAAATTGGTTGTACAGAGTCAGCATAGGACATATTTCATCCTTCACACACTGATATTCCTTGTCCATTGACCTGGGATAAGCAGGGCAGTGCTGGGTCGGGGCTGATAACAAGTCTGCACACTAAACATTAACTAAGCCCAGCCAGCTCATGCCTGGCGACCTCAGTCAGCCTCTGCCAGCCTGAAGCACAGCCGGAACCACCTGGTGAGATCCAGACCCCACGTGAAAAGCGCTGAGTGAAGGTGGGCTCTGGAGCCTCAGCCTCACGCTCACGCCTGGATTCCTCATCTGTAAACGGGAAACAATATCTACTTTAGAAGACTGGGTTAAGGGTTAAATGGGTAAGTGAGGAGGAAGCATTTAGAACAGAATTTGACGCATATAAAGCACTCCAAACACTGGCTAGTTATCATTAATAACAAGATAAAATGTGTTACAAGTCACGCGGAGGAGAGTGCACAGCGGCACAGGGCTGGGCACAACTTCCGAGCCTTCACGGCGGAGAACAAGCTCTCTCCTGCCCTGGCCCCTCCTGCGGCTGGACCTCGGTGGGCGTGGTGAGCAAACCCTGAGTGGCCACCTTGGAAAATAAGATGGAAAACAGTTTGAAGACGGTGAAGCCACAAGAAGAGCATGGGTCCTGATTGCTGGAAACCACCGCCATCAATGCTGGAGTTCTCTATCCTCTTCTATGTCAGAAAGAAACACCTTTTCCTCCCTGGCTGCTTGAAGATGAACCTCCATCATGAATGACTCCGTAACTACCCAGACAAGGAAGTCCATGACCAACAGACTACTTCACCAGAAGCAATTGGTCACTGATGTCCTTCAGCCTGGGAAGGCAACAGTACTCAAGGCAGAAATTCGGGAAAAACTAGCCAAAATGTCTAAGACCACACCTGATGTCATCTTTGTATTTGGATTCAAAACCCACTTTGGTTTTGGCACGACCACTGGCTTTGGCATGATTTATGATTCTTTGGATTTCGCAAAGAAAGAGGAACCCAAACACAGACTTGCAAGACATGGCCTATATGAGAAGAAGACGACCTCAAGAAAACAGGGAGCCGAAGCCGGTTTGGCTCAGTGGATAGAGCGTCAGCCTGCGGACTGTAAGGTCCCAGGTTTGATTCCGGTCAAGGGCATGTACCTTGGTTGCGGGCACATCCCCAGTAGGGGGCATGCAAGAGGCAGCTGATTGATGATTCTTATCAATGTTTCTGACTCTCTATCCCTCTTTCTTCCTCTCTGTAAAAAATCCATAAAATATATTAAAAAAAGAAAACAGAGAAAGGAACGCACAAACAGAATGAAGAAAGTCAGGGGACTGCAAAGGCCAATGTTGGTGCAAAAAGTGAGCTGGAGATTGAACAACAAGGGTAAAGATTCTTCGGTGACAGTTGTGCAGATATTTCATGAAAGGATTAATAAACTACAAAAAAAAAAAAAAAAAAAAGCCCCAGCTGGTTTGGCTCAGCGGATAGAGCATCGGTCTTGGGACTGAAGAGTCCCGAGTTCGATTCTAGTCAAGGGCACATGCCCGGGTTTCAGACTCAATCCCCAGTAAGGGATGTGCAAGAGGCAGCCAATCAATGATTCTCTCTCATCATTGATGTTTCTCTCTCTCTCTCTCCCTTTCCCTCTGAAATCAATAAAAATATATTTAAAAAGAAAACCTGCGAACAAATATTCATTATTCACAACCCAAATGTCCATCAACAGATGAATGGATAAGCAAAATGTGCTAATTCTGTACAACGGAATACTATCTGGCCATAAGAGGAATAAAGCAATCCTATACCTCAACATGGATGAAGCTTGAAAACATTTGTGCTCAGTGAAGTAATCCAGACAGGAAAGGTCACATATTGTGTGACTCCATTTATGTGAACCATCAGGGCTGGGAAAATCCAGAGAGGCGGGAGGAAGATGAGTGGCTGCCAGGGGCTGGGGGAAATGGGGAGGGACTGCTAATGGGTACAGGGTTCCTTGGGGGAATAAAAATTGTAGTGGTGGCGGCGGCAGTAAAACCAAACGTCACTAATGATAAATTTTACCACAGTTTAAAAAGAAAAAACGAACAAACCTGTGTGCATTCTCCTGAGTGCGGAGACATGTTTAAACATCGAAGTTAGAAAAGGTGAATCTGTCACACAAAATGACACAGTGACCGCACCAAACCCAAACACCTGCCGTGGGTATGGGGGAGGCGGGGCAGGGTGTCTGCAGGGGTAACTCGGGGGGGTAGGGGGAAAAGCAAGCCACAGAACCTGGGACCAGGCCTGACCAACAGGAGGGCTGCTTACTCAGCAAATCTGGTCACTTTAGAAATCACCAAAACACAAATTCATTTGGCAAAGGAAAGAAAATTGAATGAGCAATCAAAATTCTGAAATCCTTGATTTTAAAAGCTCTAATTTTAAAGTTAGAGCTTTAAAATGTTGGGCAGGAAACTCAAGCTCTCAGAGCGAAGAGCTGCCATCATCTGTCAGAGGCGGGCACCTACCAGGAGGCAGCAGGAAATGGCCCTCAGCCTGCCTATGCACCTGTTCAAAATGACACAACCATTCACGTTCAGTCTCCGCTCCTCGTTCCCCAGGCCTACCTTTGCAGGAGCCCCTGGAACCGTGTTAACATCAGCGTCTGGACGGCCACTGGTACATCTGGTGACGGCCTGGACAGGTGGATCTGGGGATGAGAAAGCTGGGGTGAAATGCATCTCCCGGCAGCCTGTGGATGCGTCCTGTGAAGGATGTAGGTCCTTCCGGAGCCAGGATCCTCCGCCTTCCCTTGTCTGGTCAACCCATTTTGCCATTTGATGATGACTACTTTTCCCTTGCCTCCTGGCCCCTGAGTGGAGACTCCACTCCCACCGCCAGCCAGCAGGAAAGCAAAGCCAGGGGAGGAACAGCCTCTTCCAGTAACCAAGCCGTCCGAGGCTGCTTTTGGGGTGCTGTTTTCCTTGGAATTGTCCGTAAGCTCAGGAAAGTAAATGCAAATGCAGAGCCCAATCTACGTGGTTAAACGTTTCCTTTTCCTCACCAGTCTTAGGATCCCTAAACTATGTGGGTCCCTAAAGCTAAGAACAAAGGAAAGTGCAAAACAAATAGAACTGATGATTTGGAATTTTTTTTTTTAAATATATATTTTATTGATTTTGTACAGAGAGGGAGAGAGAGATAGAGAGTTAGAAACGTCAATGAGAGAGAGTCATTGACCAGCTGCCTCTTGCACACCCCCTACTGGGGATATGCCCACTACCAAGGTACATGCCCTTGACCGGAATCGAACCGAGGACCTTTCAGTCCCCAAGCCGACGCTCTATCCATTGAGCCAAACCAGTTTCGGCTGGAATTTTTTTTTTAAGTCAGCAATATACATAATAAATCTGAAAGATATAAAAGTATAAATCTCCCTCCCTCTCATGGCCCCCAAACTCAAGAGGGGAAACATGCTAGCAGTCTCTTACGGCTAGAAAGTCCACTGCACTGACATGCATAAAGTATGTTTTTTAAATGTGACTAGAGCCGAGGCCAGTTTGGCTCAGTGGATAGAGCATCGGCCTGCAGACTGAAGGGTCCCGGGTTCGATTCCGGTCAAGGGCATGTACCTTGGTTGCGGGCACATCCCCAGTGGGGGTGTGCAAGAGGCAGCTGATCGATGACTCTCTCTCATCAATGTTTCTAACTCTCTATCCCTCTCTTCCTTTCTGTAAAAAAAATCAATAATAAAAAAAAAAAAAAATATATATATATATATATATATATATATATATATATATATATATAAATTGTGACTAGAGCCCTAGCTGGTTTAGCTAGTGAGTAGGGCATCAGCCTTTGGACTTAAGGGTCCTGGGTTCGATTCCAGTCAAGGTCACATGTCCACGTTTGCAGGCTCGATCCCCAGAAGGGTCATGCAGGAGGCAGCCAACTGATGATCCTCTCTCATTATTGATGTTTCTCTCTACTTCTCTCTATAAAATTAATAAAGACATAATAAAGACATGAATTTTCTTTCTCCTAAAATCTAAGGCTCCCCATAAGACTTGCAACCAGGGGAGAATGGGCCAGGTAGCTTGTCCCAAGCTAACCCCCTGGAACCTGTCTCCAAGGCTCCCATTTCTCAGTCTTCTCAGTGAGACAAAGCGGCCCTGCCTCGTCTCTCCTGCTGCTTTTCCACCCTAAGTCCTTTCTGGATTCCCTGGCCCCAGCTTTAATACACATCTTCCCAAGGGAAAACATTAAAATAAAAAACTCAGGGTTCCCCTGGCTGGGTGGCTTGGTTGGTTAGAGCACTGTCCTCTACACTAA